TTTTGTTACACAGATTGCCAAGAGAATTTCGATTTAAAACCAAACTGAAAAAAATAACCAACACCAAGTTTCCCTGGAAAACATATAAACATAATCCACGTAGAAATCACTGCCGAGGTCCACCACGGCCCAGTTGGGTCCGCCTGCAGCATCGTCCCCCATGAAACAGTGCCCATTATAGTAGTAACAATCTCTGTTGCCATCCACCATCAAACTGGGACCGCTATATAATCCTTCGTTACTGTACACGGAACTGGAGTATGTTGGTTTGTTGAGAGCCAGATTTTGTTGAGAGCATATTTCTTTTACTGATGTAGCAAGTACTGCTAAAATTATATTGTGGATGTATTAGTTGTTGTTGAAGGTATTGGTGTTAATGTTTTGTATATAACAAAGTTCGTTGTTTGTGCATCTTGTTGCAATTTTAATCTTCCAAGTTGATGAAATAACTTTTCTGAAGTTTTCACGGTCATAAATGATTTTATTAGTATTTTCAGTACACGATGACATACAAAATAAATTTTTTAAAAATATAGAAACCGAATCATGAAAAACGCCTAAAAAACCTCAGCCAAGCACACATTCCAGACCATCTATTAAACTCGAAAACAACCCAGCCAAAAATCACATTCACGAACTTCGTCTGAAAAGCAATGACATCAGTTTTTTTGTAAGACTGAATAATCATGATTAATCGACCATTTTGTCTGAAGTTCAGCATGAAATCCGTTTATCTCAAAAGTCTCCACCATTCAACGTTTTAGATGACGCCACTATACAAACCGTCTTTTAGAAAGAAACAATGTTCAGTTCAGTGTTAAGTGTAATTCATGCAATCTGATGTTTTGCAGACAACTTGCAGTAGCCAATGATGACGAGGCATAGTGTGATCAAGAAGTCTTTAATTAATCGGCAGTCAGAGGTGAAAATCAAGAACGGTCGAATGTGTTTAAGGTGAACGAGTTCGAGCTTATTTACACTGGCCCAGCTGATAAACTCTGCCGTAAAATCCTAAATGAAGTATACAAAAAACTACATGCAGGAACAATTTCAGTTCAACAGCTGCTATAAGAAACAGGGATGGATAGATTTTTTTTATTATTCTGTAAATCAAACTCTGTCAGACGCAGAGAAAATAACAACATGCAAGATATGAAACGATGAAAAGAAAATATGAATAGAATAACGCAATGAACCAAGTTTGGTCAACATTGGGAACCAAAGCACAACAGCGCAATGAAAAAACAATGGAGGTGAGAGTTGTCTTCATAATTGTTCTTAGAATGAAAAGTTATATCGAAAGTCTTAGATGTTGCGTATGTACGTTAGTTACATTAAATTTTCAAAAATTAATTATTATTTAATCGCGGTATAAAAATATTTATGTGCTCACAAAATTATGAAACAATAATTAGAAACAAAATCCATCCTAACCAATATAGGAATATAGAATAAACGAGGCAGCTTTTTGAGCAGCCATCTTACAAATTTTGGGGATAGAATTTTTTTGTCACCAAACTGTATCAATAAAACTATATATTAATATATATATATATATATATATATATATATATATATATGAATATATATATATAATTATAATTATAAAAAACAATATATATAGCGCCCATTCATTGTCCTCACAGGCCTCTCAAAAAATAGAACTTAATTATATACGTGGCAAACATACATGTTATTGAAAACATAAATAAATATATATATATATATATATATATATATATATATACATATATATATATATATATATATATGTATATATATATATGTAAGAATTTGTGCTTGGTCTTTATGGATACTTACCATGAAACAAAAACAAATGAGATATTTTCCCTTCGTTCATTATTCGTTCAGCCATTTTTCACATTTTTCATTACTTAAAATTGTTTGCGTAGTGTGTTAGTTTGGCTGGTTGATTTGTTAATTCATAAAAAGACAAACAGACAAACAAACAAACAAACAGATAAACGAACTAACTAGCAAACAAACAAACATACTAACACAAAAATAAATAAAAAAAACCCATTAAACAGACCATCACAGAAGTTGAAAAGAAAAAAGTCGTCAAATTCCTAGATGTATTTGTATATCTTGACCAAAAATTAACGTCAAAAAATTAACGTTTAGACCATGTCTGTACAAAATTATATAAATCAATAGGCCTGTCGAGTAAAGTTAAGTTCTTGAATTTACTGTATAATCCGGTTTTGTTGCACATGTGACCTATTGAAGTTTTGTTTGGTCGGGCGCATACCAATCTATTTGTCATCCAGTAAAAATCTTGATGGAAAAAGTCGTTTGATACGTTATTTGCTTTCATAGTAAACATCACTATGAGACATTATTTAAATTAACAAACAACTTCAACTTTGAGAAGTTAAATATGCTTTTTGCTGCTTTTTTTGTACAAAAACAGATATCTTAAATGTATGACTATTAAATCAGAGTTTCTATTAAAGGAAAAGCACATGTCATCATTGCAAATAAGTCGAAAAGCAATATTCGGTTTCCATATATTAAATGCAAAGCTTCAAGGGTTTGAAACAAAATCATCAAAGTGGTTTCCACTGCAACTCAACATCATTAAGCAATTTCAAACAAAGACTAAAATTTTTCTTAAAAAATAAATGTGAAACTTAAATTTGAGTAAATACATATTATATATATAAATATATTGTGTATAGTTTTATTTTATATTATTTCTGGTTCTTTATGGTCACGATGTGATAAATAAACTTTGTCAAACATGAATTAAAATTTCAAACATTAAACCTTCAACAAAATTTTACAAAATTATTTTGTTAAACTTGATATGGTTATGCCTCGAAAAATTACTATTAATTTTTGTAGTTATCCTGATTTTCAATGCTTATATTTTGTTTGTTTTGAAATTATATTAAACTCGTGTTTGTCTTCGTATTCGTAAACACACTAAACACTGAAACAAAAAACACATTCACAGCGTTCATTTATTATCAGTCACGGTAGCACATATCTTTTTTTTGTTATCGAAATGTTCTTTTCCATTATTGGATTATTAATCATCTCTTAATGCAATAATGAAGAGTCTTCACTTGTAAACGTTTTATAATTCTCTGAATTTGTTGTTTGAAGAATAATTTTTGAAAGATTTAATATAAATTTGAAATGTCAACAACATAACACTTTTAATTAATTTTTCCAATTGAAATTATGTTAAGACGTTTATTTGAATACTAACATTAATAGAAACACTAATCCAAGTAACCAAATAAATCACAACTACAACCTCGCTATTTCACAATGCACAACTATCCACCTATGTTCAGTTTTAGCAAAGATAACAAATAATCAAGTTAATAATAGAGAACAGCTCCACTATTCCAGTGAATATAACATCACCCCACCTTTTTCATTCCGATGAATTGAGGCTAACCAATCAAAATGGTCGACCTTCATCTTTTCCCGTTAACTTTCATGATCATAGGTCGTGTAGACCACGTGATTTATCCAGTTAATGACCTTGTACCGACATTTCCAATTTCTTGGAAGTTCGTGGGCATCTTCTTTTTCTGCGCTGTTGGTTGTACAACCAGATCGGGTAACTGCTTTTGAAACTTACTTTATTTCATTTCGGTTCAAGCCAAGTTAAAAAAGAAAGCTGATGAGTTATTGGCAGCAAGATCCAAATGGTAGTCCCATTGCCTTTACAAGTTTTAATGTCTTTGTCACTGCCAACTTCGGGATTATTCTTCAAAAGGTTCATCGTCGTCTTAGTCATCATCTTTTTCATTTCAATCTAAATGAAATGCATAAAAAATGAAAGCAAGATCCAAATAGTAATTCAACTGCATATTGTTACGGTTGCACCAATGTATGATTGCGCTGTTATAAGAGAACACCAAACCAGGAAGAGGAGTGTGCAAGAGTGAAAAGAAGAGAAGAATAGTGTTTGTTTGGAAAGGCAGAACACGTGTTTCGTTCTTTCTTAGACCTCATCAGAAGCCCGAATAGCAGAATCCTTTCGCAGTTTTTCCTTATATAGCCCAATGAATAACTCTTTTATTTAAACAATGATACATTATTGTTGTGTTTTTATTTATTTTGAGAATCGTTAGTTTTAATCGTTATGATTTCCAATCCCACTACATATCAAAAGTTTTCATATTATTGTCACAGCCAACTTCTGAATTATTCTCAAAACTATCATAGTCGTCTTTGTCATCAGCTTCGTTTTTAAAATGGTAATGAAAAGCATTAGACAAGTTGCTGGTAGAAAGATCAGAGTAGATTATCAAAAGTTTCAAAGTCACTACCAACTTCTTCAAAACCTTCATTGTCATCATCTCTATTATTACGATAACTACCTTTCTTCGCCGTGCATCGCAGTTAACATCTGCATCAGTTATCACGTGCGTCGCAGTCAAGTTTATCAGTGGGAAGGATAGACTTGCGATCGTTAATGTAGTTGTAAAAAGTAGAATATGCTGGTGAAGTGATGTCAGAATCTTGCTGTTTGTGTTGTTTTTGTTTGCCACTAGGACGCTTTTGAATTTACTATTCCATTGCTTTTAAGTCTTTTGTTTGTTGTTTTTTTAAAGTTTTGAAGTCTTTTGATTGCTGGTCGATCTTCTCAATAAGTTCTGCTGCCTGTTGATCGAATCTTCCATTCATTCCGAAAAACTGTAATTTCAGTTCTTTTATAGGATCCGAAAAATTAAAATCTTCAGAATTGTTGCATTCACTTATCAAAGCGTCCATCAGAAGCTTCATAAAAACTGCCTTCGTTCCTTTTGAGTCAAAGTTTTGTTGTCGTAATTCTTTTCCCAAATAAGTTGCGAACATTAATAGAAACACTAATCGAAGTTACTCTATAAATCACAACTACAACCTCGCTGCTTCACAACGCACAACTATCCATTTATTTACAGTTTCACATTTAAAAATAAAAAGCATGTAATCAAGTTTATAATATAGTCGACTCGTCTATTCTAACGGATATAACAATATTAACATGGTTGTCATTATTTACATAAACATCTTTATACAACAACAGCTGTCATTTGATCGTTGGATCTTCTGTGTGTACTTTTAAACTGACTGGCAATCTCGTCGAACGACTTGTTCTTCGTCTCAGGAACTTTAAAATAGATGAAAATTACGGAAGCTATCATGATGACGAGGAAGATGAGAAAGATGAATTCTCTAGTGGCAGCCTGGTAAGTGATGTACCATATTGTATAAACTTAAAGATGTTATAAATGTCTTGAATTGATGAGCATTTCATAACTAGCAACTTATTAATTAATAGCGTAATTAGGTGAAGTTTTATTTGATTTGTTTGTTTTTGTCAATCAAATTATCAACGTGCATACATTATTACGAAAATAATTTAGAAAATTGTCTATATTTGTTAAAACATGAAGCAACAAGTTGTCTACATTGTCTAAATTTTTAATGGCTAGAACAGAATTTTCTATGCTAAAATTTTTCTTAATTAATCAAATATATACATCGGTAGATAGAGATGAGCTGATGTAGTTACCATTTTAAGTAAACCACGCATCTGGAAAACAATTTTCAACCCACTAACTTGCACAATTTCGAAAGACATAGCCACAATAGTATTCGACAGCCAGTTGAGCAGCCCAGCCAAACTCATGGCTTTAGATCTCGGACCCTGCCTGAAGACCTCGGCTGTGATCATGTTGGGAACTGGTCCTAGACCACTGGCAAACAACACGACGTACAAAACAAGACAAACAATCGTCAAATAGTTTATCGGTGGATATAGTGGCTGTGTGTTAAAAATGATTATATTCATTTAACCAAATGAAAATTATTTGTACAGCATGTACATTTAACTTCAATTGTACTATTTTTGTATTTAAATTAATGATATAATTCTTGGCAAAACATAGCTGCTACACTCAAACTTATAAATTGTAAAACTTCACCAAATTAGTATGACCTGCAAGTTGAGAGAGACGGAGATGACAATCAGGACGAGAATCATGCCGGACATGGGAGCCAGGAGCATCATTCTTCTGCCCAGTCTGTCCATCAGAGGAACCTTTTAATCATTTAAAAATTTACATCAATTGATCAATAAAAGTTCGAAATGTTGAATTAACTAATGAATTTTGCCGAACTTAAAGAATAAGCATAAGTTTTTTAAGATATAAACATTTTCAAAATATCAAAATCAAAGCCAAGAATAAATTATAGGAAATTGGAAAAACCTTTATAAGTTTTATCATGTCAATTTTGAGTTAATTGTTAAAGTTAAAACTAAATATATTTGTATTCACAAAAAAGAATTTCAATTTGAAATAAAACAGAAAATATTAGTCAACAATTTTCAAGCGAACTCACGGTCAAGATGTTGGTGGCTACGCTGATCAGAAAAATTCCCAGAATAGCGTACTGTACGACGTCCACAGAAACACCCGCCTTCAACAAAATGCTTTTTGAGTAGAACGTGATGGCGTTTATGCCAGAAAACTGTTGCACTATTTGAAGGAGCAGGCAGACGATCAGCGGGGCAAGGAGTTCACGAGTTCGCAAAAGTTTCAACATGCTGAATGTTTCATCATCGCCCTGATTCTTTGACTCCTCCTCCATCTCCTTTATTTCCTTACTCACGTCCTCACTTTGCCGTAACCACTTTAATGCTGGGGCACATCAAACATCATATCATTTCATAAAACCATTAAATCGTTCTATAATTGCTTGAGAGAAATTTCAAATCAGATAGAATAGCAAAGCTTAACTTGAAAACAAACGACTTTTTCAGATGAGTTGCAAAATATATTTTGGAATTAAAATGTGAAACCTTTTTCAGCGCTTTTTTTGTTTTTCTTGGTAACTAGAAGATACCTCGGACTGTCGGGGAGCAAAGGAAATACGAACAGACTTGCTAAGCCAGGCACCACGTTCAAAAGCAATAGTATCGGCCACTTGTCTTCAACGCCTTGGATGGCGAATCAGTTTTTTATTTTTTACACTAATGCATCTTTTCCAACAAATAAATTATTAATAGCAATAAAAATATGAATAATAATTCACCAACAAACCAGTCAAAAATTGAAACAAACAGCCAACCAAACAATCAACCAGCCAACCCTTATTCGAGCAACCAACCTAGAATAATATTCAACCCAAAGAACGTTCCCATTAGAACACCAATTGACACAAACAGCCCATACAACGCTCCCATGGCACCTTTAAAGTCGAAAGGTACAATCTCAATCATGTACATTGGTCCAAGTTGAGTGGCAGCCCCTGTGTGTTGTGTGAGTTTTGCATCATATTATTCATATTATGATTGACATGTCAGAATAATTTACTTTTTTTGAGTGATAAATGACTTAATTTATTCGAATAATGATAATGTCTTAGTAGTAAATAATTAATTATTAACAAATGTTATAGTAATAAATTATTTTAAAAATAATTATTAAATTAATTAATAATATTAACAATAACTACAAATGTATGCTATCATGAGCAAACAACAATAGATGGCAATAACTACAGGCTCCAAAATAATATCCAAAATTTCATCAAAAAACAAGCGATGACTGACCACAGCTGAGGCCGGTGACGAAGCGTCCAATTAGGAGGAGGACAGGCGAACCAGCCCACACGCAAGAGCCACTCAACAAACCCCCAACAATGGATGGTCCAGCATTCAACATAAGAGTATATTTTCTAATCGGTCGGAAATTTAAACAAAATAAGATCATTCATTTGTAGAGAGCTTCTTCTTACATTTTAATTTTATTTTTGTTACTTAGTTGATTGGTTTAATGACAGAAAATTGAATATTCGACTGTTATGTAAATTAACAAGAAGATTTGTAATATATATTCCCAAACCTGCCCAGCCTATCAGCCAGCCAGCCAACAACGAAGGAGCCTATCATGCCTCCACAGACAAACACAGCTGTGCATAGCGACCAGAGGATCGTCAGAGTGTTCTCACAAATTGAATTCTGTGCAGGCAGTGAGGTTGACGACGATGGTGCTGGCGATGTTGGTGTCGAAGCTTCTGGCAGTGAGGTTGACGTCGATGTCGTTAGCGGTGGCGTCGTTACGGGGGAGTACGATTCGTTCAAAAACTCTTTGACCAGCTGAAAATGACAAGAAACGTAATTTATTTTTACGTTTTGGAAGTTTAAATAACAAGTTTTTTATTATGCTCAAAAGTTGATTTAAAAATAATTTGAACAAATTAACTCCAATTCCGGTCTGTGAAAAAGGAAAACGACGAACCAGCATCGGTTGATTGAGAACGCTGAGGTTGTATCCATATTGGTAGGAGGTTGAAAGGGCGATCATGAGACTTGTCAGCGTGGTTGTCCACGTCCACCTCTGCGCATCAGGGTCAGGTTAGAAATGAATTTGTTGAAATGGTGTTATTAAGCATAATAGTTTTGTAGATCAATCAAACTAAACTTCACAAAAATGGTTGCTAGTAACATGCTTAAAAAATTAAAACAAATAAAAACAATGAAAAGCTTTATTATTTCTTAGTTTGATAGAAAAGTCTGAAGCGAATTATATTATTCCAATGACAAAAACATTAAATACGTAAAACACATAATTTAGCCGATTTTTAAATGGCAAATTCAAACTCGCACGTTCGTTAAATCAACATGAAAGGACAACCCAATTCAACCACTTTCTCACAAATCTACATTACCAAAACCATCTCACTCGCAAATGAAACAACAACATTTGTAATTAAAGTTTTAGATATCAAAATTTTAATAAGAAATTTTCAAAAACTTGAGCCACCTACCCTGCGTGTGGATGATGACGTCATTTCTTGCATCTCTGGCATCTCTTAGGATGGGACAACACGTCTTTGTTGAATGTTCAGAGGAGACAACGTAACACGTAGCACTGCATTTTCATACACAATTTAAAATGTTGTCATTTTATTGTACAACACAAACACGCTAGTTAAATAATTTTTAAAAGTGTGATCGTGAGCCGCTGCACGTGGCAATAGTCAATACAAATTTATATAATAATAATAGATATACATTTTTTAAACAAGTTATTTACTTAACGTAAGAAATTGCATACAACAAATATTTTAAAATAATTTAATATAATTACCGTACAATCAAAATCCGGGATAGAATTCGTCAAAACTAGATCAGTAGCGAACTTCTCAAATATATTAAGAAAGCGAAGATATTATATAGTAGAACCGTTTCAGCGAAGTCCTTCCGTGTAAAAGAAATTTTTAAGCCCCACTTTCTTTTTAATAATTTTTTTTAAATAAAATTTTTTTCCATAGAGAATTTTGTATAATCCTGCTTATATCAAAAATAAAGATAATAACGTTATAGCCGTGGAATGATCAAATTGTGCTATATTATTTGTTATCATAATTATTGTAATCTTTGTTTTACTTGAAATTATTAGATTGTAAAGGATTGTAGAAGGTAGCCTTTATATGATCTCGCGGAGTCAGGTTTCTTAGACGGGTTTCCAGCAGGGAATGCGAAGTCGTAAATGCGATCTATGTTGGGTTCATCTATCGGAAATCTTGAACCTACCGAACAACGAACACTTGACGATTGTTGGAAGCTACAGCACTGGTGTTGGAAAATGGAAATATAGGAATTTTTGAAGTTAGAACATCGGTGTAGGTATAACGAACGCCGAAACGTTACAACGACAATAATGTTAATAACATTGTTGTTGATTATGACGATGATCAAGTATGGTAATGATGACCAGGAAGATAAAAATGATGATGATGTTAATAATAATAATCGTCATTACTAAAACTAATATTATAATTATTAATAATCGGCTTGAGCTGATCAAGCCAATTATTATGGACTTAACATCACTAGCACGAACGCGCGCATACACACGAACGAATTGAGAGTTGGTCGTAATAAATGAACATAATGTTGACAGAAATTTAATTGAATGAACTTGGTATTTAACAATTTTTCTAATCACAGGCTTAAAAATTGAACTGATAACTTGCAATTTAAAAATTCACATTACAATTTAATTTTGAAATAAAATATATTATAATACATAACTAAAATATTTGTTTGTATCAAATTTTTAAAACAGCGATGAACTGATAATGAATGAAAGGTCAAAATAATATTTCATCATTTATTTAACGTTAAGATGGTGATGATAATGGATATGAAACAGTTGGTATGATGTTGTGTGTGAACATACTAAATGTTAACTAGATGGACTCACTTTGTTGGAGGATTCAAATTTTATTCTCCCAGTATGTTGCAGTTATAAAAATATTTTTTTCCGGACATTGAATTACTCTTAAAGTTGATGTTCACATTCGATCAGAGTTGACTCGAACAGAGTTGTAATTTGTTTATTAATGTGTTATTAATTATATAAAGGAAATTGTTTATTAATGTGTTATTAATTAGTTTAACGTCAAATGACAAGGATTCATATTTGCATCGGTAAATTTATTTTCATGTACGTATTTACTAGTGAATTTTCCATAAACTATTAATATTCAACTTTTTAAATGAGTATGTGTGTTTATGTGTGTATGTTTATGTGTGTGTGTTTATGTTGTGTGTCAGTCAATTCAATAGCCAGTAACTTGATACGGATTTATAATAATCCGACACAACTTATTTGACCCAGAAATATTGAAGTCATTTACATATTTGCGGTCATCATCATCATCCTTCTTATTTCCAGTGTGATTTTATTGTTCTTTTGTTAATTATCGTCTATCATTTTCAGTACACAACATTTGTTGTACATTTTTTCGTTTAACACACATCTGCCACTTTCAAGTATTTAATCTACCGTGTGCTATTTGTCATCCAACTCAATAACTTTCAATAAAAATCTTAGTATTCAACTTTTCAAATTATAAATATATAATTTAATACAATCCACTTTGAGTTAACTGTCAATTTCAAACTATCAAATGTAATTGATATGAATAAATATAAATATATATCTGCCTCTTAGTTTTAAAACGCAAATTAATTTCCTGTTGTTCTTAATTCAACCAGAACATATAAGGAATGAAATTGGTTGCATGAATTTTCTATCTGTAAAACATCCAACAAACCTCAGTCAAAGTTTTTTGCTTAACCCTTTAATGCATAGCGTCTTTTTTTACGGTCACCTTATATTAAATTGAATTAGTCAGACACTTCTTAATTTATTTGTAAAATATTAAACCTGAACACCCCTCAGTGAAATTGTTAATGGAATAGACCACATTAGCGCGCATTTTCAACCATTTTGTTAGGTAACTTTTTACTTCTTTTCGCACAATTGTGAAATTTTTGTTTTTGGAGATGTCTCAAACTAAAAGGTAGATTTCTCAAAATTTATAAACTTTTTAAAAATATTTTTATTTCACTTATTTCACTAATTTAATTGCATCAAAAATTCATATTAAAAGTTGCTGATAGCATTTTTACAATGTCTTTTTAAAAGGACGTCTTGCACTGAAGCCCACATGTTTTGTGCAATGTAATGAACGTATTTGAAATTTCACCTAATCCTATTTATCACAAATTTTAAACTATATTTTACTTTTGATTATATACGTGATATACATTTTATGCTCACGTATTTTGTGCCTAAATATAACTCTTCGCCACACTGGCCAGTTACAATGTGCAATGATTGCCAAATAGTGTATACTGTATATGCACTGTTTCTATTTTTTCATTGTTAGATATTACATACTTTTTTTTTTTTGAATGAAAGTATTCTGTAGCTGAAGTAGTTAGCATGATAGAAGAAGATAACGATTTTCAAAGTGCTGATATTTATATTTTGCCACCTGAAGATCCCACAAAATCATATGAAGATGATGATGGCGAAATAAACCAGAAGATGATGATGGCGAAATAAACAATCCTTCTGGTAATCAGTTGCGTGGCAATGCTGAAACTGTTGTTAAACTGTCAAATTTAATGAAGATGCATGTAGGTGTTAACATCCTATAGCACGGAGAGTAATAAAGGTCGCCGTGTTAAGAACCGCATTTCAAGGATGAAGTCGCTTGCACACGAGATTTTAGTTTGTGAAGCTTCATTCTACACAAATGGAATAAGATCTCTACATAAACCTTTCGATGCAAAAATATATAATATTTTTACGTTACTGAATGCAATGGTTAAACGTACATACTAACAACTTTTTTGATTTGCTTTCATGGATTTTATAGAAGAGGAAGGTAAGGAAGAAGTATTTTTATGGCTGAGGTGAGTTCTGCAATTACATTACTGCACAAAGAATAAGTTCTTCCGTGCTGTACAAATTTAAATGAATCGATGTTAAACACGAGTTGAGTAAGCATGTTTTTGTGTGTATGTGTGTGTGTGTATGTGCGTGTGTGTCTGTGTATATGTGCGTGAGTTTTAGCTTATCGGAAAATAAGTTATAAAAATGTATGAGCAAATAAATTCAACTTACAACAAAAAAAATATTATTTCGATGAAAAAATATCTACATAGAGGAGATCAATCACCATGATAAATATAAATTACACTAAAATAACTCTTGAAGTCATGCAATCGGACAGTGGTGATTTTGATTATGCTGTATCGCTTTTTTGGTTCAGAATAAGGCTTGGGTCAAACAACTTTCAACGTCAAAAAGTATTGGTAATTCTGGGTATATAGATGTACTCGTCTTCTGCAGCTGACGAGGTGTATAGATTCGATGATTGTGTTTTGGCTGGAGGAGTTGAGAGTGGCGCTGTTTTGGGGAGGTGATGGGCGTCGGCAGGTTTCTGGTCTTGCTGGCAGATGGCTTTCATTCTGTGCAATTCACCAACAGAATTAAGAAAATGTAAATCATTCTTATTGACCTAGTGTCAGGTCTCTGCTGTGGACGAACCTCATATTGATAGCTCAGATATGACAGTGAAATGATCTCTAATTTCTTCATAGGTATGTCGAGTATCTGCTGTAGATAAGTATCTTATATATATACGGATGCTGCCTTGAAAAATGGTTGACGCATTTATTGTTGACGAATTAATATCTTATATTTGATAGTCGGATTGTTTAACGAGCGATGCATTTTGGAAAAGTGGTCTGATTGGTAGTTTTCGGGTTCAAGATATTGTTGATAAACATGTCATAAATTTTATTTAAATTTTCTGTTCCGATTTCATTAACATTGTGTACTGAATTTGTGAGAGCGCTTTTGAAATGCGCTGTATAAATATTTTGATAATATATATATATATATATATATATATATATATATATATATATATATATATATATATATATATATTACATTATATTGTGTTTGGGTACATTGAATTTTTTTTATAATTATGTTTTATATTTCGGAACGGTTTTGAAATATTAGAATTACTCTTTGAAATATCTACAGCATACATTATATTGTGATTGGGTACTTGAATTCTTTTATTTGTTTAAATCTGCTCATATATCATTATTACAAATTGACACTGGTCATCAGTACAAGAAGTCCAGATTTCTTTTTTTTATTTCCAGATCATTTCCTTTCATTGATTTCATTTTTCTGATTTCACTGTTTGATTTGATGAAATAAAAATGTCATATATATTTTATATATATATATATATATATATATATATATATATGTCATATATATTTTATATATATATATATATATATATATATATATACGAAACGAATTTTTTTATTTGCTTCCCTAAATAACAATTAAGAAGGCAAGATGACTGTGATCGAGCTCGTGATGAGCTCATCTTGCACAGCCACCTTGTCACAAATAAAACAACAAATTGTAAGAATATTCAGAAAAATATAACATCATATAACTAAATTATTTTGACTAAATCAACAGAAATTAATTCTTAAATTAAAAATAAAATTAAAAAAAAAATTTTTGAGTTTCTGCCTAAATTTAACATCAGACATTGAGTCAATTTTTAAATTGTTCTTTAATAGCAAATTCCAAATTCTTGGTCCTTTACAATATACGCGGTAGAAGAGAATGTTTGTTTTTGATGAATTTGATCTAATGTAATTTTGTCTCTTGTTGTTGCTGCAAGTGTAGTAATGATTGAATACTGTTGGTAACTTGTTTGTCAGCTGTTTGTAGACAAAATTAGCCGTGAATTAGGCATTCATTCATCCGATCAAAAGTCAAATTTTTCTTTGACAAAAATAATGGCAACGTGTGCGATTGTTTTGTTGATGATGTAACTAGCCGTAGTGCCCTCTTCATTATTAATCGGGTCGGATCGGTGATCGTGCGATAGGTACCAGCCCAGACTACGTTGCAGTAAGAGATGTACGGTACGCATATCATTTATTATTATTTGATTTGATTAATTGAAGAATAAAAAATTTATTAAACGATTTATTATCTATTCACTCATTCATTCATTTAAACAATCATTTATTTTTATTGGTGAATTGATTTGTTAATGGTTAACTGATTTAAAGAAGTTTCACATTCCTGATTTCACAAGTTATATATATATATATATATATATATATAACTTGTGAAAATACCCCATTTCAGAGTATGAGCTATATAAATTCCTTGATGTGTGTGCGTGTGTATTTTGATTTCGTTTTTTCAGCCTGTTAAGCCGCTTCTGTAACTATAATGTGTTAAATAACGTAATGATTCAGTGTGTTGTTATTATTATTTGCGTATAAAGTGTATATTTTGTTACATCTGCCGCGCTGGTAGAGTTGCGCTATATAATTTATTGCAATTAATTATCTTCTTTGCTATTTTTGCCATTTGTCATCGATTGGAAAATTTTATAAGTGGAAAGGTGTGCATTTTATAGCGGCGAGAATTTTGTAGAGAAGTTGTATGGTTATTTATGTAGTCATGGTCTTATTTATTGGCAATCGTGTGTATTTAAAGTGAATAATTTATGTTTCTATTATTGTTGGTATTTGAATAAAAGTTTAAACAAGTTTACGTTTGATATCTTGCACTATCGTCTCTACATTATGGTGTCGAAAATAGAAATCTTTGAAATCGAAGTTGCAACAATTTACTATAACGAAATGTTTTGTACGCTCCAGCGTTAATATTTTATTATCCGAAATAAACCATTGATTTTATTTTGGTCTGTTACAAGTTTATTCAATATCTTTTGCCTCCGGATCATTATCTTTTCACTCAATCATTTATTATCATTTGATTTGATAAAGTGAAGAATAAAAAAAATTATTAAACGATTTATTATCTATTCATTCGTTTATTTAAACAAGCATTTATATTTTGGTTTGGTGAATTGATTTGTTAATGGTTAACTGATTTGAAGGACATTATTTGAAATTGTTGACGTCATCTTCAGGCCACTCTGCTCAACACCCTAGATTTAATTAGAAATGAAATATTTGTAAATAACAATGATAATTAAATATAATTAATAAAAATATAAATAATAATCACAATAATAATAATAATAAAATTCAAATCTGCGCAACACAAGCATTGCATGTGATAGACAAGGATCTTTTTGCATTTGAACCCAGTTACTGCAGCAGTGTCTTAGACGCCTTAACAAAAAACATAAAACTAACAATAATATTACTAATAATAGACATTAATAATAATATAAAAATAAAAACAATAATAACCTTGTAAATCAGAATATTATGCCTAAGACAGAAGGCCATGTAGACCTCATTGGCCACACTTTGTTTCTCATCCTCGCTGCAGTAGACCAGGTACTGGACTTCGAGAAATTTTTCGGGTAAAAATGGTGAGACCTGAGTTGAACGATTGATTGGTTTGTTAGTTGGTTGATTAGTTATCGAACAATTGGTTGGTTAGTTGGTTGATTGATTGTTGGTTGGTTAGTTGGTTGATTGATTGTTGGTTGTTTAGTTGGTTGATTGATTGAATGCTTGGCTGTCAAATAAAGTGATTAATTTGTTGACTGACTGGTTGATTGAGTGATTTGAACGTAAAACAAAATTTGACGAACTTACTTAATAAATCAAAAAATGATTGCATGGTTGATTAATTGATTGATTGACTAATGGATTGATCGACCAATGGTTTGATTGACAATTAACTCAATAATAATAATAACACCACAACATACTTGATCCTTCGTAACTTTATAGGCCACATCTGGATTATGTTTACTGTAGAACATGCAGTTTTCAAGCGGATTCTTCTCCTTCATCCCATAGTTAAAAGAACGTTTCTGCGTATGCGTGTGTGTACATGCATTTGTGTGTGTCTTTGTATGATTGATTGTATGTGTGCTCGTTTGCATGTCAGTTTGTGTGTCTGTGTGTGAAAAAATAAGTAAATGAAAGAATGACCAAATGAATGATTAACTGAATGAATGAATAGATGAATGAACAATTGAATGATTAAATAAATAAACAAATAAGCAAGTAGACTAACGACAACAATGAAATCATCGGCAGTCAGGTTCATCTTCAACAGGGTGCTATCCATGACGAGCTGTTCATGAATCCAGTCTGCACTCCATTTCAACTTCGGATTCTGTGAATTTTTGTGTATACACTTGTTTTAAACACACACAAACCACATACATACACGCACTACATTCACACACAGACACACACACAGCCACTCACACAAACAGACACAATGAAACAAAAAGGCACAGAAACCCACATCAGATTCCTTTACGAGCCCAACAATTTTAGGTAGATTCCTCGAAAAGACTCTCTTGATCCACTCTCTTGATCTGGAAAGTTCTGGCCTGCTGGAGTGGAGGATTTGCAGGATGATGTCGTCCGTCATCTTCCAGAAGGCTTCCATGTCGTTCATGCCTTCAGACATCTTGTAGAGTTTTCTGGTTTGCGATTTGGAGATTTTTTGTGAGTTGTTTTATGTTTGTGGTGTTTGTTGTTTTTTATGATTTGTGATGAATGATTGTATTTCTCTCTCTCTCTCTCTTTCTCTCTCTCTCTCTCTTTCGCGTTCTCGTTTGATATGTTCGTTGTTCATAATTTGTGGTGGATAACTCTTTTTAGTCTTTCTCCTCCCTCCCTTATTTTCTTCCTCTCTCTCTCTCTTTTACGCACCACTAAAAAATTTTCAATCGCAACATACGCACAAAATTTGCGTTAAAACGCTTGAATCATTTTTAGCATTTGACGAGCGTTGAACGCAGTTACTACAAAGCATGCATCGGGCGCCTCTACAAATCACGCCATGGTTTCACAACTTATTTGTATTGCTGATAATACATAATAAAGAATAAAATATATAAGGTACAAATACATAAGTGCAGATATAAACAAACGATCATAAACAATTAAACATAAACAAATAAAAAACGCAATGGAAAGACAATTAACAATAACCCATTTGTGCCTGGAAAAAAGAGGTGGTCATCTGCCAGTTTCATTGCTTCACAAATCCTGAAATGAAAAATTGATGGCTGATTTTGTAGCATTGTTTGTTTTGTTGTTAACATCGCTGTTACTCATGTTATTATTTATGTTGAATGGCTATGATAGGTTGCGTGCCAATAAAAAATCCTTTCAGCATCATTTTCTAATCACATCAACCTCAACACTTCAACCTCAACACTTCAACCTTAACATCATCTTCAACAACATCGTCATCATTTCTGCAAACAACAACAAAAACTTACATGTAATTTAAGATGATGGTGGTCTTGTGAAGGTAGGCTTGCTTGAAAAGACTGCTTCTGCAGTGGTACATCTCGTACAGGTTATCCGCTTCCTAGATTGTTAGTTAATTTTACAAACAACTCATTAAATTTATTTACCAACGAATTAATTAATTACCAGCCAATCATCAATCAATTAGTCAACCAGTCGTTCCTTTAATCAATTAATCAATCAACCAACCATAGCCAGCAAATCGACCAGACAATCAATCAACCATCCAGCCAATCATCAATCGATCAACTAACCAATCAGCAATCAATCATTTAATAAATCATCTAATCAATCATCCAATCAATCAGACATTTAGCCAATCAGCCAGCAAGCCCTTCAGTCAGGCAATCGATCAATCAATCAATCAACCAGTCGAACCTTGTTCCTGGCACAGATCTGTTTCTCCCCATTGACGTCGATAACCCTGACAAACTTAAGGAGTCGACCGGGATCGAACGAAACTTTCAATCCCAAATAGTGGCTATCCCGAAGGAAGTAATCCCACCTATCCACGTCGATCCCAGTCCGATTGTTGGCTACAATCTGTGCGTGGGTTGGCGCGTGCGTGAGTATATGTGCGAGTGTGCTTTTATAATTGAAAATGTAATATAATGCAGTGCTGTTTTTGACGAAAGAATGACGTCATAAGCAAAAAATGAGGTCAGAAATGGTTGAAATAAATTGAAACGTTCAACGGTCAAAGTTTGAAAAATTTTGGCTAAAGTTGTCTAGAACCGCCACTGAGTACCGGCACCCATTTTTCTACAAGAAAAGCACTGAGACAATATAATTGAAATTTTGCCAACCTCGTAGAGGAACATCTTGTCCTGGCCTCTACCCTGGTAATCCTTGAAATAACAATTCATTTAGGTGAATGAGTGGAAGAATGAACAAATAAATGAATGAAAGGACGTAGATGAATGAAGACAAATTTATTAAATTTCATCAGAAAGCTTAATTTGTAATGAGTAAATAAACTTGAATGAATAAAAGTAGGAGCAAAGAAATGTAATGAACATAAAAATGAATAAATAAAAAACGAAAAAACATATGGATTTCTGAGTAATAATTGAATGCGTGAACATGTGAATGAATAAAATAAGTGAGGTAAAAAAGAGATAAATGAACAAACATACGCAAATGAATGAGCGAACAGATGAACAAACGAACGATTAAATCATTAAAAAACAAATTGGAGAGAAAAAAAATAACAACTTTGTTTGTAGGTGACATTATTTGCTCTTTGATGAACATCAGGTCCTCGTCGCTGAATAGATGCTTCAAGTTGTTCTCCTTTATAATGTAGTCTAACATATCCACTGAAGCTTGTTCGTGCTGTATGTTTGCATGCGTGTGTGTGTGTGTTGGTGTGTGTGTCTGTGTACGTGTTTGCTTGTGTATACAAACATCAACATGCAAATACTCATATCACAATATCATGTGAAACAACAAACAATCACAGAAACAAACAAACAAACCTTCCAGTCCGGTAGTTTCGCCGACCTCCTAAAACTTGGAATAAACAGCTGATCATACAAATGGGAAAAAGGTCCATGACCTGGTTGGTAACGTGATAATATACACATAAATACAATAAATACAGACATACATACATACACAGACATAAATACATACAGACATACACAGACATAAATACAGACATACATACATACACAAACATAAATACAGACATACATACATACATACACAGACATAAATACAGACATACATATGGAGTACATCGACGAATTGGGTCATCGGTGAGTCCTAGACAGACATACATACACACACACATTCACACACACATTCACACACACATTCACACACATACCCAAGTCATGGCACAACCCTGCTACTGCTACACATGACACATCAGACTCAGTAATGTTCAGCTCTGGCTGCTTTTGTTGCATAGTTCTACACAATGTTTCCGCCAGGTGACAAACTCTGAAAAAAAATAAATAAAAATAAGTACTAAAAGTGCACGCACACCAAACATGCACACACAAACCCGATGCTGTGCTCGAATCTTGTATGAACCGCCCCAGGGTAGACCAGAGAGCCCGTGCCAGTCATCTTAATGAACCTCAACCTCTGAAACTGTGGAGTGTCCACGATGGCCATGCAGAGAGGGCTAATTTCGATGTGGCCGTGGATAGGGTCGTTCATAACCTGTATTTTTGTTTGTGTATGTGTTTGTGTATTTGTATGTGTGTGTGTGTGTGTGTTTGTATGTGTGTGTGTGCGTGCTTGTGTATTTTTTCATGGAGGTAGATAGATAACAAGACAGTATGAAAGTGTGATAATAACTTACCGTCCCCTCTTTTTTCAGCAATGTTCTTCTGTAAAAAAAATTATGCAAAGACTTAATAACTGAATAACTAAATTATTGCGTAAATACAAATAATTAAAAAAAGTATTTCAATTAATTAATTAATTAAGCAAATAAATAGGCAATTAAATCCATACCCAGTATTTTGACTTTGTGAAGTTCTATTATTTTTCTCCATTTTTATCTAATCTAAATTGTCAATTAAGAAATCATAGATAAATAACAGTAAAATATAATGCATCCAAACAGCAATGAAGATGAACTTAAATTTGTTGTGGGGTTTCTTTCACCTGTTACAAGCGTTGCACTGATCTATGTTATATACCGTTATAATCAGTGTTTAATGACCTTTTCAACGGTATATGACAAGTTCTGATGAGTTGCTTGGATTTCATGCTAGTAAGTAAAGAGTTGCCCTCCTCACGATTCATTTATAACGTTCGCATTCACTCAACAAAGTGCGGTGACTTAATTCATAGACAATCGTTGACATCTTATTTTTTAGTGAAAATTTCAGATTTTTAAATTTCAAAATAATATTTATTATAAAAAAGACTAATTATTTATGAAAACTGTTTGTTCGTGTTTTTCTTTTAGACAGAATTAGAAGGTTGAGCATAACTTTTAAAAACATTCATTGATTCATTGAATTATGGACGCAGAAAATACATTTTCCCTATGCCCATATCTAGCATAAAACATTGGAAGTTCAGGTTTATTTGGTCAAATCTTCATACCTTACGAAAGTTAAATCGAAAAAGATAACGCCACGCTCAGTGATGAGCAAAAGCAGAGCGGATCGTAATCGGAGGCAAAAATGAAAGATGGAGCAGAACTTAAAAATTTACAATGTTTTGGTTTTATTAAGAAACCAAAAGATAAAGGCAAAAAATAGTTTAGTTAAAAATGTAATAAATTTTTAGTTACAAATAATGTTTTACTAAAATTTTTAAACATTTTCAACACGTGCTTAAAACTACAACTACAGCTAAATTTCAAATTTTTGTTTTCTAACTACGTGGATGGTTTGGAAATCTTTTGAAAATCCTCCCCCCACAGAACCACAAAATTTTCAGTGCAGAATACTTCTATTCAGAACTTAAATTTCTCGAGTTGAACACTTGCCATTCTTACATAAAAATTGATTTTAATTTATCTACACAATCGACAAAATTCTTACGTTAGCAAACAAAATTTTCAATTGACAGATTAAGTGAACCGTAAAATTGATAAGGAGTGTCAAGAGCAACAGAAAATAAAAACTCGCTTATTCTAATTAAAAATTGAAATCAACTGATATTATTTATTTATTTATTAGAAAAAATTTTAAATTCAAAATTGCCTCTAAAAATTTACCAAAAGACTTAAATTAAATAAAATGCCATGCGGTTGAACAGGCATAAAGTTCATGTATGAATGAATTTGTACACCTATAGATTAAAACGATTGGTCTAGTTGAATTTCCACATTTTAACAAGTTCGACATAAAAATAATACTAAAGTCGAAATTCATAATGCATTTAAAATGTTCATATATCGAAGTTTAATAAATAAAATTAAAATTAAATATGCTACAACTTACCTTGATTACGAAAATTTTCCCACAGTGATTTATGCGTCTATGTGGTTAACAGTCTTAGTCTTTGCTTTTTATATCAAATCATGAAGCGCTCAAAAAAAATCATAAAAGATAAGAAAAGATCATAAAAAAGAAAAGATAACTCTTCCTCATTTTCGGAATGGAGCAAATAATAATCATGTACTTTGCAGTACTCAATTGATTAAAATTATTCGAAGCCAGTTAAATCGGTGGTTTTTCAAAACAAACAATTTTTTCAATACATCCACCATATATCTTGATCCTTATATGAGGCACAGCGCACGCTATGTTTCAGACACTATATGGCATGCATTTGTTTTTTTTAGAATACGATCAAAACTTTGTCTCAACTCGTGATGATAACTTAACGATCATTTTTTGATGTATTCGAACGAATTTTTAAAGAAAACTTATATTTCGCAGTTAGAACTAAATAAAATTAAAAATTACGGCTTTCCGTATTAAATATGTAAAAGTTGATTCTTAGTAAAAGTTGCCATATATAAAGTAAAGGTAAAAAATGAATAATAAAGCATTATCATGGTGTTTGCAGTTAATTTGTCGCGTAATTTGTACATAATGCCAATAACTTTGTATAGTTTATTAACTATCGTATGTACCTCTAGTGTTCAATTTAAGTCAATCAGGATAACCATTACAAGAAAAATTTCGTTGACTCGACTCGAGGCAAAGTGGTATCACCAATTATCAGAGATAAATTTGTAAATACTTTATTGATGGTTTCAACTGTATGTTCAAATATTATATAGCAAGATTTTTTTAAGTTTAAAGTCAATTTATTTAATTCACAGTAATCATAATATTTAACAAGAGGTTCATTCATCTCGCTAAACAACGCCACCGGGTAATTACCGGATAAAAATATATTGGCGTCATCAGCAAAAAGTACCGTTGTACAACGATCAGTCACCAAAAAAAGATCATCCAAGAATAGTATAAACGAGACAACGGACCTGAAATTGCCCCTTGTGGAACGCTGGTTTTAATAACAGACAATGAGGATTCAATACTTTCAACAGATACAAACTGTCTACGATCATGCAGATTTAATCCAAACCATTCCGAAGCAGTGCTCCTGAATCCGTAATTAGACAATTTGGATATCAAGGTTTCATGGCCAATAACATCAAAAGCCTTTTTTAAGTCAACAAATATCCCTAACGTAAACAGCTTGGACTAAAAGCTGTATAGCAGTAATCGATACAAATCTGCTATTGCTCTTTCTTGTGACGATTTAGGTTTAAAGCCATATTGATTTTTATTAATTATGTTAAATTTAATTAAAATTTTCAACATTCTTATGAACATGAATTTTTCAAAATTTTTAAATATAGATAATAAGGAAATGGGTCTATACTTTTTAAAACATTTCGGGTCACCACTTTTGAAGATGGGTAAGACTTTAGCTATTTTAAGTTTACCAGGAAAGGCTCTGATAAAATTAAATCAATGTAGACAGATAATAACGTAGATTTTAGATTTATGTCTAGCTTTAAAATATGTAAACGCTGCTAAATCTTTTCTATGCGATTGACACTGATGAAGTTTTTCCGCAATGAATAAGAAAGCCAATTGTACTGAAAATTGTTTAATGATTCGAGGAATAGAAATTCACCCTTGTTCGCAAAATCTCACAATTTTCATGCGAAGGCAATGATGAACCGAAAGTATCACATGAACAAAGTTTAGAGCTTAGCTCTAACATCCGATGGTAAATCAAATATCAAAAGATGGGAATTGTGGAACAAAATAAAGTATAAAGAAACTTGTTGATCTATCAAAAAGCGATCCAAAAAATGTTTTCCATTAACTTTATTAATCGAAATTTGTTGAAGTCTTCCCTAAGCTTTCCATAGCATTTTGGTTCTTCTAACGTTACCAATCACTGTTGCTAGTACCAAAATAAGTTTTTCAAAGTTAAAAATAATAAAATCGTATCGGAGGTGATTGGCTTTCACTTAAAAAAGAAATTGCTGATCAATTGGATATGGGAAAAATAATAAAAATGATCAGAATTTCAAGCCAGAAAAATTCATTTTTAAATACAATTCATATAAATTAATAATTTGTAAATGTATTTTTCAATACGAATCTATTTATTTGTGTAAAGTTTTATTCCAAATAATTTTTCTAATAAAGTGAAATGATATTGAATTAAAATGACCAGATTTTGTTTTATTTTTCAAATCAAAAATTAATGGAGTGGGGTAGCAAATTAGCATGTTGCTTATGCATAAAAGATTTCTAGAACCGAGCCTACCTTTAACCGTTAGCGACACTATTCAAAATGCATTACAAATTTCAGTGACCAAGTTTGATGAAAATTTAGAAAAAAATCACTAAAAAAATTATAACTCAACTGTACAGACCAGTAAAAGATAATTCTTCAACTGACTGAAAGTTTTCAAATTCTTCAGCTGATTAAAAATTTTCAATATCAAAATGCGTTTTAGCTTTAAAAATGATCAAAAAAGGCAAGGAGCAGAACATTAGTAGTAACTCCTGTTTTATACTGATTTGCTCGTTTTAAAATATCCTATGCCTGGCTCACTCGTGTTCGTTGCAAATTATGGGAAACAGATACTACCGAAGAAATTGTAGCACGATTAAATAGATTTTTAATAATTTTCGTGGAAACGTTTTATTTGTAACATTTCAAAAATATTAACAATAGTTGGAAAACAATTTATTCATTCGATATCATCTATCTCGAAAGCAGTTAGAAATTCGGTAGCAATTCCGTGAAATCGAGGCAACATTGATAGCGTGTGTTCGCTGATGAATCAGAAATTACTTCTGAATATATATTTACAACATTTAATTTAAACCTCATCAAACAATTGTCAAGCGAATAAACTTTTTTTCAAACGCACTGCTAGAAAAATTTTTGAATACGTCAGCCAATTTCATCAATCAGTATTTCTGCTGCTAGCAGAATTACTTATTTATTTAAAAAAAATTTACATAATACGATACAAAAGTTTCAATACATAAACAATATTCAAAACTCTAGCATTATAAAACAACGTGCAACACAATTAACAAGCAGAGATACGTTTAAGCAAAGGTCAATTATTTAACGAAACGTGTTATAACGATAGCTTAATGCACTGCAGTGCCTACTATGCTCATGTTATGATGTGCGCGTGTTAGCACTTTCATATCTAGATGCTGCTACATCGAGACATCTATGCTGTTAACGTGTTATCATTCTTTTCATAACCATTGTTAAGTTAAACAACAACAGCTGTCATTTGCTCATTATATCCACCGCGAGTACTCTTAAACTGACTGGCAATCTCGTCGAACGACTTGTTCTTCGTCTCGGGAACTTTCAAATAGACAAAAATTACGGAGACGATCATGATGACAAGGAAGATGATGAAGATGAATTCTCTAGTGGCCGCCTTTATAGTGATTGGTTGTATCATGTTGTATAATTTTAAGCGTTTTATAATAGTTTTAAACAGATGAAGATTTTTTAAAATTAACCAGTAATAAATTTTTAGGTTAAACATTGGTAAACTTAATTTGACCTGCTTGTTTTGTTCATCGAGGAAATCAACATACTTTTAAACGTTTTTATAATAATAATTTAGAAAATCATCATCAGCTATAAAAAATTTGTTCCTGATTGAAGATACCAGATGTCTAAAGTTTTCAATGATTAGAAAAATATTTTATAAAAAGTTTGGCAAAATTCTCATCATATTCTATGCTAAAATTTTTTTTAATCGAACAAATAAACAAATCGGTAGACATGAATAAGCTGATATAGTCACCATTTTATGTGATTCACGCATCTCGAAACAATTTTTAAACCACTAACTTGCACAATTTCGAAAGACGTGGCCACGACAGCATTGGACAGCCAGTTGAGCAGCCCAGCCAAACTCATGGCTCTGGATCTCGGACCCTGCCTGAAGACCTCGGCTGTGATCATGTTAGGGATTGGACCCAGACCACTGGCGAACAACATGACGTACGAAACAAGACAAACAATCGTCAAATAGTTTATCGATGGATATAGTGGCTGTGTGTTAGAAACGATTAACTCCATTTAAACAAAGGAAAGTTATTTGTACACGTACAGCATGTACATTTTATTTCGATTGTAATCATTTTTTATTTAAATTAATGATATAATTTTTGGCAAAACATTATAGCTGCTACACTTAAATCTAAAAATAAATTGCTGTTTGTTAGTCTCGCTAAAACTCGAGAACGGCCGAACGGATTTATCTTATCTTGGTCTTGAAAAGTTCGTGGAGGTCTAGGGAAGGTTTTAAAGGTAAGAAAAATTTAAATAATTGCCGGAAAACCCAGAAAACAGCCCTTTTTTCCCATATAAACGTTTTCTAAATAAAATTTTATAGTCAATTTGAACTTTATTGATATTCAATAAAGTTCAACTAATATGTTAATCCATCCTTTAAAACACTGAAAAAGTATTAAGATATTGTGTTACGATATCTGAGTGCGCAACATCTTTCTTTACTGTGTTAGTCCTTTGTAATAATGACATTCACAGTAATGTGCTCTATTTTATGGATATTTTGTGATTGTGACACCTTACTGCTAAGTGAGCGAAAAACTTTCTCACTTTGATTATTTACAATTTACAATGCCTAGAAGAAGACAACCTGACTTAGGTCAGTCAATCAAATGTGCTCACGTATCTGATCTGTATCTCTCTGGTGATCAGTGCTAACCGCACTCTGGTGATCAGTGCTAACAATCGACACACGTTAAGATGTGTGTGTGTCCATCTGATGAAGACATTGGTCCGACTAAATTGATGTGTACATGCTGAAACCTGCTGCTTGGTGGAGGGAATTCTGCTGGACGTGAAGCTGTATGTCGATGTACTTTGCTGCGTTGACATTGCAGACACTCTCTGCACCAGTTACGGATGTCATTATCAATGTGGGGCCAAACATACCTGGCTCTAATTATTTTCGATGTTGCTTTCGCTCCTGGATGTGACAGGGAATGGAAATTCAGAAAAACTGATTTCCGCATGCTTGTTGGAACTAGAGGACGAGGGGTGCCTAACGAGGTGTCGACGACGATATTGTTTTCTGAGTTGTTGACTGGAATTATGCTGATTTTTAGTGAGTCTGTGTTGTCAGGGAGTGTTCTCCTCCTGTTTTTTCGACATCTCCTCCAGGTTAATTGCTTTTGGCGTTATCGTGGCTACCTCTGTACGTGATAGCACATCAACTGCAACGTTGTTTTCTCCTTTCACGTGTCGAATGTCTGTTGTGAATTGTGAGATGTAATCCAGGTGTCTGATCTCTCTTGGTGTTAAACAACTTGAATCTGAACGTAAGGCAAACGTCAATGGTTTATGATCAGTGAATATTGTGAACTCTCGACCTTCGAGGAAGTGTTGAAAATGGCGGACAGCTGAATACACTGCCAGCAGTTCTCGACCAAATGTACTGTAGCGGGTCTGCGCTGGGTTAAATTTTTGCGAAAAAGAGGCTATAGGTCTTGCAATCTTCTGACTTTTCTGTTCTAGTACTGCTCCCGCAGCAACGTCTGAAACGTCTGTGAAAAGTTGAAAAGTGCCTTTCTCTTGAACGTACCATAACTTGGTTGCCGCTAGTAATGCCTGTTTGGCCTCTCTAAAACTTTGTTGCTGCCCTTCGTTAAATTTTATGGTTTTCGATTTGCCAGTTAAAATGTCAGTGAGAGGTGACAATATCGTTGAGCATTTAGGGATGAATCGGCGGTAAAAATTGATCATTCCAATGAATCGGCGTAGTTGCTTGTCAGTCGTTGGTTCAGCAAAATTGATGATTGCCTGTACTTTGTTGTCGAGGGGTCTAATGCCTTCACTGTCGAGTTGGTGCCACAGGAATGTTGTGGATGATTTGGCCCATTCGCATTTGGATGGGTTGATGGTTAGTCCGTTGTCTTGCAGTCGTTGAAGAACTTGTTCTACATGGCTTCTGTGTTCTTCGAGGGTTTTGCTGGCTATTAGTATGTCGTCAATGTATGTGTGGACAAAAGGTAGCCCTCTCAAAACACTATCGATGAACCTTTGAAAAGTCTGTGCGGCATTTCTCAGCCCGAACGGCATCTTCAAAAATTCAAACAGACCGAACGGTGTTGTTACCGCAGTTTTTTGGATATCTTCTTCTGCTACCGGTATTTGGTGGTAAGCCCGTACGAGATCTAACCTCGTAAACCATCGCACCTGTTCCAGGCTGTGAGCGATATCATGGATGTGTGGAACTGGATATCAATCAGGTGTGGTCCTGTTGTTGAGTGCGCGGTTATCTCCACAAGGTCTCCAATCTCCTGATGACTTTGCAACCATATGAAGTAGTGATACCCAAGGACTGTTTGATGGTCTTATGATTCCGAGTTGACACATGTATTCAAATTCGGCTTTGGCGGCTCGCAACTTCTCTGGGTGCAATCGTCGTGGGGCCGTATGATGTGGTGGTTCAGAAGTCACAATGTGGTGTCGTATCTGGTTTTCATTTTTGTTGTTGTTGACAGGCATCGTTAACTTAGGAAATTTGTCAATGATTTTACCAAAGTTGTTGTCCGTAGTAATGTATGGTTTTACGCCAGAGATTATATTGGAGCGTTCAACAACCCCATGTATCTGTAACGTCGTGGTGTTGTCAACAATTTCGAGTCTCCTCATGTCGACTGCAATATCGAAGTGTGACAAGAAGTCGGCACCCAATATTGCCTGTGTGACGTTTGCAATGATGAAAACCCATTTGAATTTACGTCGTAAACCGAGGTCGATGGTTACGAGCTGTTGTCCAAATGTGTCGATGGTGGTGCCATTTGCAGCTTGCAGTTTGTAGTCAGATTTGGGTCTTTGGAGTTGTTGTCGTGAAGGTATGATACTTACCTGGGCTCCTCTGTCGACCAAAAACCTTGTCTTCGAAATGTTATCGGTGACGTAGAAAAGGCAACACGATTTGTTGAATGTTGATGTGGTGTCTTGTTGTTTTTGCGGCTGTTTGTTGTTGTTTGTCACTACTTTTGTTTGTTGATGTTTGTTGATGTTTGATGTTTGTACATAATGTAGGCGACTAAAAGTGTTGTGGCCAGAGGTTGTCGCCGCCATTAGCAACTGGCCTGGTAGTTTGACGACTTGGCGACTTTTGCTTTGAAGTTGCATGGTCTCGCACACTTTTTTGCTCTGTCCCCATACGTTTTATGGTACCAGCAAACATCTGTCTCCTCACCATCTGCTTCTCTAGAGGGGAATTTTGTTTTCGTTTGTTGTTGTTGATGTTTGCGCCTGAATGCAAATACCTCATCTCTCTTAATCGTTGTCTCTTCGGTACCAGATTTTGTTACGGCGTTGTGTGTTATGGTGGTAGAACCATTTCGATTGGATATTTGATGCATTCGGTCAGCTATGATTGCTAACCTTTGTAGCGACTCGTCGGTTGAGACTGCTAGATGCATTTGTATTGCGGATGGTAGCTGGTCCAACCACAATTGTTTCAAAATGCTTTCGTCTCTATTGTTTGCCCCCCACAGGCAATAGTTGTGATGGCGTTCTGTCTTCCATGGCCACGCCTCGGAGCAACGTGCGCAAATTTTCTTCGTCTGAAACCGAATACCTCTGCGTTAACACGCGCTTCAGTGAGGTGTAAGTTTGTGCCGACGCCAATTCCGTCTCCACATCTATGATGACATCCATGGGTAGGCTTTCGACCAGCGTGGGGTACCATTCATCTTCTTCTGAAAAACCTCGGCCCTTAAGCACATTTTCAAAATATGTGAACCACGCTTTGGGGTTCGCCGTGCTGAATGTGTTTAATTGAAGTGGGGCTCTCGTCGTTGTTCTCTTTGTCGTGGTTTCGCAAGCCATCGCGTTCGGGGTCACCAATTTGTTGAGAGTTTCTTTAGATATAAGAAACCACAAGTAAGAATGTTTATAACTTATTTATTTGCGCAATACAAAATAAATGAAAACGTGTTCGGCAATGCAATTAGACAAAGAGAAGTTCGATCGTAAAATGTCGCAAGAAGAAGGGCTGTTGTCTTTGTGTTGAAGCTATATATCGTAAGTCGTCACATGCTTAGATTAGGGATGTGCGGTTCAACACAATCCAACAGTAAAGAAAAACATTGTCCATGAATTACAAATGTTTCTTCATCAGAATAAAAATTTAGTAAATATGTTTGAAATAGCATTGGATCGGATGCCATCTGATAGCCATAATATTATCATTCGAGCTGACAAAACACCTGCCGGTGAACACACAAAGAGGTTTATTTCACCTCACCTACCATTGACAAAGTGGCTGTTGTCATTGGGGAAGAAAATTTACAATAGTGATTTAAAATGGGTATCTGAAACACACAGAAGTTATGATGCATTACAATATTCTTTAATCTTTTGACAGGGAGAAGATGGATACCATTTTAATATCAGAATGGTAAATCAAGTAACAGGTAAATAAATTGAACAAAATTAAATAATGCTTTTTAATTCAATTCATCTAAGTAACAAATTTTTCATTTTGGATTGCAGGTGCTGATAACAACAAAAAAGAAATTTTTATTCATACAGACTCATGATCAGTCAAGGTGAAGTAAATTATATTTTGATGTGTCATTGTCAAAGACTTTTTCATCAGTTTGCAGTTAACATGTATCTCAAAATTGAGGGTGAATGAACCATAGACATCTTCGATCAGAAGAACACATTCATCTCGTCGATCCTATAAATGGATGGCAATGTAAATAATATGGGAAGAATGACAATTTTGCCAGCCACTTATATAGGAAGCCCACGCCAAATGCATGAAAATGCACAAGATGCTATGTCATATTTTAGGCATTATGGCCGCCCAGACTTATTTGTTACATTCACATGTAACCCAAAATAGTCCAAAATCTATAGGGAATTGCTACATAGCCAAACACCAGTTGATAAACGTGACATAACTGCCAGAGTTTTTAAGCAAAAATTAAAATCTCTCTTGAATTCATTAACAAATTGTTTCATAGCTGTGTGTGCCTGTCAATATCAAATTTGAACATTAAATAGAGCCAGTATTTCAGGAAAACTCTATTTTGTAATTAAGCAACATGATGTGTCAAAAATAAAAATAAAACATGCTTCATTCAAAATATACTTTTTTGTTTAATAAGGATTTGTTTTGTTTGCTTTAAAATTGATTTATACAAAAGATTGGGTCTTATTTATTGATTGAGGCAGTACGAATTCTGCCGGGTAACCAAGTAATTATAAAACTTCATCGAATAGTATGACCTGCAAGTTGAGAGAGACGGAGATGACAATCAGGACGAGAATCATGCCGGACATGGGAGCCAGGAGCATCATTCTTCTGCCCAGTCTGTCCATCAGAGGTACCTTTTAATCATTTAAAAATTTACATCAATTGATCAATATGAGTTTGAAATGTTGAATTAAATTAACTAATAAATCTCACCAAACTTATTGAATGTGCTGATAGTTTTTTAAGGTATAAACATTTTCAAAATATCAAATTCAAAGCCAAGGATAAAGAATATGAAAATGTAAAAACCTTAAATGTTAAAGTTTAAAATTAATAATTTTTCTAACCACAAAAGTGAATTTCAATTTAAAATAGAACAGAAAATATTAGTCAACAATTTTCAAGCAAACTCACGGTCAAGATGTTTGTGACTACGCTGATCAGAAAAATTCCTAGGATAGCGTACTGTACGACGTCCACAGAAACACCGGCCTTCAACAAAATGCTTTTCGAGTAGAACGTGATGGCGTTTATGCCAGAAAACTGTTGCACTATTTGAAGGAGCAGGCAGACGATCAGCGGGGCAAGGAGTTCACGAGTTCGCAAGAGTTTCAACATGCTGAATGTTTCATCATCGCCCTGATTCTTTGACTCCTCCTCCATCTCCTTTATTTCCTTACTCACGTCCTTACTTTGCCGCAACCACGTTAATGCTGGGGCACATCAAACAAACTTTAATTTCTTTATATAGATAATAAAACAATTAAATAACAATAATATTTATTTGTTAGTTATGTTCAAACGCAATAAGAAGTTTTAATTCAAATATTATAGCAGAGCTTAATTTTAAGACAAACGCCCTTTTCAATTGAATAGCAAAAAATATTTTCAAAATAAAATGTCTGAGACCTTTCACAGCGCTTTCTTTGTTTTTCTTGGTAACTAGAAGATACCTCGGACTGTCGGGAAGCAGAGGAAATACGAACAGACTTGCTAAGCCAGGCACCACGTTCAAAAGCAACAGTATCGGCCACTTGTCTTCAACCCCTTGAAGAGAAAATCCGTTTTTTATTTTTATTCTAGTGCACTTTATCAGAAAAATAAATTATTAATAGTAATAATAATAACAATTATTAATAATGATAATATAAATAATAATGTGATGATATTATTATTCTACAGTAATTTTTTATTCATTAATTTAAACAGTTGTGGAGCTCACAAAGGCGTAAAAGCACGCATACGAGCAAACTTTTTTTGGATCCACATTGACAGACTCAAACAAAAAACGGATCATTCAAATAATGCAAAAACAAATGTGATTTCCTACCTTTTCCAACTAGTGTTTAAGCGGATGACACCACAACCATAATCGCAGCGGCCAAAGTGAATCAAATACTTGGATTTATTAGAAGAACATTGGTCAGTAAGGAGAGATCGATAATTATAAATTTGTATGAAACTTTATTTTGCCCCCATCTGGAAAACTGTGTTTGAGTGGGAAGTCTAGGTTAGCAAAAAGATAAAGACTCAGATTCAGAAAAAGATTCAGGTAAATGTTCAGCTGAGAGCGACAAAGATGATTGAAGGTTTTAGAAAACTTCAATACAAAGTTAGATTGAGAGAATGTGGACTGACTACTATAGAGAGAGGAAGACACAGAGAGGAGATATGATACAAACATACAATCTGATTACCAAAAAAAAGAATACGTCTTTTACCAAATTCTTCCGATTAGAGTCTAGAAGAGGACTACAAGGTCATAGATACAAGTTTTTTAAGAAGTCACTTGATAAAATCAAGCAATGATTTGTTAGTATCAGGGTGGTAAACACCTGAAATGAGCAGAATGACTAGACGGTTATATAGGTATAAGATTCAGGTATAGAGAGAGGAAGACACAGAGAGGAGATATGATACAAACATACAATCTGATTACCAAAAAAAAGAATACGTCTTTTACCAAATTCTTCCGATTAGAGTCTAGAAGAGGACTACAAGGTCATAGATACAAGTTTTTTAAGAAGTCACTTGATAAAATCAAGCAATGATTTGTTAGTATCAGGGTGGTAAACACCTGAAATGAGCAGAATGACTAGACGGTTTCCTTGGAATAAACCAACAGTTTTCAGATCAAGTCTGGAGAACTAGGATAATAGGGCAATTAATTTTCAGTGGTTTTCACACAAACACTAATTTACTAAACTACTATAAATCTTGTCGCGTTATGTTATATTGTGTTGTAACATTAGTTCAACATTACGTGCCTAGCAACGTTTATATTTACTGAAAACGCAACTTACTAAGTGAACGCACAATTTGCGATTTCTCATCAAAACAATTTTGACTTCTAGATCTCCAAATACTTAAACTTGTAATTAAAGTGATTTTAAAATTAATACAGATTTAAAAAATTAAAAAATCTAACAATAATATCAACAACAATAATTTACAACAAACTGATCATGCCTATCAGGGCAACAGAAATTTATACAAAATAATAACTTAACTAAATAATTTTAGCAACTAACCAAACAACTGATCAACTAATCAAGAAAGAAACCAGTAATCAACCAAACAGGTAACCAAACAAACGAACAATTACCCAACAAACCAACCAAACCTTCAAACAAACAGCCAATCAATCAATCAAACATACAAACAGAAAACAGTTGACCAAGACAGCCAACCAAACAATCAACCAGCCAGTTCTTATTTGAGCAACCAACCTAGAATGATATTCAACCCAAAAAAGGTTCCTATTACGATACCTATTGAAACAAACAATCCATACAACGTTCCAATGGCACCTTTCAAGTTGAAAGGTACAATCTCAATTATGTACATTGGTCCGAGTTGAGTAGCAGCCCCTGTGTGTTGTGTGTTTGTGTTTGTTTATTTGTGTTTGGGGTGTGTTTATGTTTTGTGTGTTTGTGTGTGTATGTATGGTGTGTGTCTGTTTGTATGTGTGGTGTGTGTTTGTGTGGTGTGTGTGTGAGTAAGTGTGAGAAGTGTGGTGTGTGTGTTTAGCGTTGCGTCAATATTATCAACATGTCAAATTAATTTTATTTATTTCGGGCTCTAAATAACGTAATGTGGTGATGACAATTTTATCATAATTTTTTCAGGTTATTTCATAAAATTTGAAATAATCTGTGAATTGTGACAATAGAAGTCTTAACAAAAATTAATAAATAATATAATAAACAAGGTAAGATTAATAATAAATATTATAATAACTATTATTAATTTTGACAATAACTATAATGACAAGAGAGCAACAACAATTAGCAGGAATAAACGCGGGCTTCGACAAACTGGACCAAATTTCATTAAAAACAAGCGATGACTGACCACAGCTGAGGCCGGTGGTGAAGCGTCCAATTAGGAGGAGGACAGGCGAACCAGCCCACACGCACAAGCCACTCAACAATCCCCCCACGACGGATGGTCCAGCATTCAACATCAGAGTATATTTTCTAATCGGTTGGAAATTTAAACAAAATAAGATCATTCATTTGTAGAGAGCTTCTTCTTACATTTTAATTTTATTTTTGTTACTTAGTTGATTGGTTTAATGACAGAAAATTGAATATTCGACTGTTATGTAAATTAACAAGAAGATTTGTAATATATATTCCCAAACCTGCCCAGCCTATCAGCCAGCCAGCCAACAACGAAGGAGCCTATCATGCCTCCACAGACAAACACAGCTGTGCATAGCGACCAGAGGATCGTCAGAGTGTTCTCACTAATTGAATTCTGTGCAGGCACTGAGGTTGACGGCGATGTTGGTGTCGAAGCTTCAGGCAGTGAGGTTGACGTCGATGTCGTTAGCGGTGGCGTCGTTACGGGGGAGTACGATTCGTTCAAAAACTCTTTGACCAGCTGAAAATGACAAGAAACGTAATTTATTTTTACGTTTTGGAAGTTTAAATAACAAGTTTTTTATTATGCTCAAAAGTTGATTTAAAAATAATTTGAACAAATTAACTCCACTTCCGGTCTGTGAAAAAGGAAAACGACGAACCAGCATCGGTTGGTTGAGAACGCTGAGGTTGTATCCATATTGGTAGGAGGTTGAAAGGGCAATCATGAGACTTGTCAGCGTGGTTGTCCACGTCCACCTCTGCGCATCAGGGTCAGGTTAGAAATGAATTTGTTGAAATGGTGTTATTAAGTATAATAGTTTTGTAGATCAATCAAACTAAACTTCACAAAAATGATTGCTAGTAAAATGCTTAAAAATTAAAAAAGTGGAAGGCCATAATATTTCTTAGTTAGATATTATACAAATCAATCAAAAACATTGAATGTGCAGAACTCGAGCTGCGTATAAATTCAAAACTATTCAAACTGGTTACATTTCAAAATTCATACTCCGCACCCTCTCGCAAACAAACATCACCAACACCATCGAAACAGCATTCGTAAGTTGAGTTTTAAATATTTTCAAAATACTGAATCGAAATTTTGATGATAATAACTGGAATCTTTTACCCCACGAGCTGACGACACTTCCTGCATCGGTGGTGTCTGTGGCAGCTCTCTGGTGGGGCAGCACGCCTTAATTGAATTTTTTGAGGAGACAAAATATATTTATTGCATCTTTCATTAAATTTTAATTAATAATATTATTTTTTCTCTATAATTATCATATCATCAATTTCAGGGTTTAAACTTTAGTAACGAGAAGCAACATGTACAATATTATTTGGTTTTTAGATTGACGGGATTCGAACCAGGTCATCGCGCATTAACAACAATGCGAAATTAGGCACTTCTACTCTCTGAGCTAACTCGTCAAACAATCAACAGACGAAGCACAAACGCACGCACACACACACACAAGTGTGAAATAGGAATTGTAATCGAAATGAGAGTTGGTCGTAATGAATTAAAATAATGCCGACAGAAATTTAAATGAATGAATTTATTATTTCACAATTGTTCTAATTACTGATATAAGAATTAAACTGATAGCCAGCACTTTAAAAAAACACCCTTGCAGTTTAATTCCGCAATAAATATGTTGTATGATTAAAACTTTGTAAGAAATGTTTGAAATGGCGTTGAAATAATGACGAATGAAGGATTAAAATAACATTTCACCATACATCATTTAACATCATGATGATGACGATGGAGATGAAGCGGTCGATATGATGTTGGGCGTGAATGTTCCAAATGGATGGCGACTTGATGGACTCACTTGGTTGGAGGATTCCACTTTTATGCTCCGTGTTTACATTAATTGTAGTAATAAAAATTGAAAATTTTTCATTTCCCGACGTTAATGTTGATGTTTCCATGCAATGTTGACTGGAGCATAGTAGCCGATCGTTAATTGATGTGGGAAGTTGTTAGATTTTAAACGGCAAGGATTCATATTTGCATCGGTGTATTTATTTTCATGTGCGTGTCTATACAAGTGTGGGCGTGCGTGTGTGTGTGCGTGTAGTGTGTGTGTGTGATGTGTGTGTATGTGAGTATCAGTCAATAGGTCAATAGCCATAGCCAGTGTGTCAATAACCAGTAACTTGATAGGGATCTATATTAATCCGGCACAGCGATACAAATTTGTTCGACCCAGAAACATGGAAGTCATTAACATGTTTGTCGTCATCGTCATTTTTTTCATCGTCAATGTGATTATTTCGTTATTACCTATTGGTGATCTTTTTAACGCTATTAATCCCCTGTTATTATGAGCTTGACGACAACATATTACGACTGAAGTTGGCTGCATGAAATCGTACTCCGTTCCACAGTTCGTTTGAGTTACTTAACCATTCGCAAATTATTTTTCTTCACCACAACAAAACCATGTCGGCAAACTTTAAATTGAAATGCATTTCTGCGTGCGATGTATAACTCGCTAACGTTTCATAGACGTGAGACCCCATGTTGAAAACTCGTAGACACGTTCAAATAACCACAACATACGAACCAGCAAGCAAATCGACTGACACAAGACATTTTTATATCAATTGAATGTTTCCCCTTTCAATGTTTTTTAAAAATTACACCCAAGATCTATTAAAAACTTCTTTAATGATTGGCTGATAATTTTCACTGCAGTTGATACTTGTACCTCGTTCAATTTTCACTTCGTTCACATTGATTTGCATTTTTCCAAGGTTGACATATTTTCGATGCATCACGAACAATCTGCAAATAAATTAAGAGCGATGCGGCCAACATTTACATTCCAGCACCACTTAAATGTCGGCTCGCTCATGTTCATCACAACAATATATGAACAAACTTATTTTCTAAACTCCTTAATCAAAAGTCTGATGTTTTAGTACATTATTGTAATGCATGCACAAAATAAATTCACTTCTGGTTGAAATATAAGGCTACTTCATCAATGAACATTCATCCCTCGTGCTGACCTACGTCAAGTGTCTTACATAAGTTACAATTTATAAAGTTACTTCCATTCACGTTACAAATATCTCAGATTTAAAAAACAAAAACTAAAAAATTGTTGAAGAATGCGGCGTATAACATCCTCTTGGAGGATGATTCGCAAACAATGGAATGTATTGGAAAGGAAAATGTAACTGCTGTCCCAATGCACAAGTGCCTAATATTTTACCACGCTAATGATACTCTCATGAACAATTTTTATTAATTTTATTAATTAACCATTATTAGTTACTTCTGCAAACGTACATTTTAAAAAAAGGTTCTTTCATCGTTTTTGCTAACGTTCGCATGCCGCGAGCCAAACTATCAAGTTTTAAACTTCGCAAACAAAGTCTAAATAGCTTCGATCATTGCGGGCGATGAAATAGTATCCAAGAGAGTTGCAAAGGTTATATGGAGTTGTATTTCCTCGTTGCGAAAACATCAAATCAATTTTCAGTTTACGACGAAAACACACAACGATCCTCTTCATATTATGTAGGCCAACTTCGCATGTCCTATTCGCACACCAAACATGTAACGGAATTTAATTAACAACAAAGGTTAAAGGTTCCATTCAAACCTGTTCACTACAACAAAGGCGCCTATAAATGTATGTATATATATATATATAAACATATTATATATATATATATATTTTACAATAGTCTATAAATTCTACCGAATGTTTGGAGTTAATATGTTTGTAGTTCGTTTTTTCGATTTTTCTCACTAAAGTTTTTTGGTGAACGCGTTTAATTTATTAAAATTCAAAATAAACTTATTTTTCGAATTCATGCTGCAAATAAGGCCATATTTCGATTCCGAATGAATCATCATCAGTGCTCCTTGCTGTATATATAGGGAAATATTGACTTTGTCAAGATGAACTTTGACGTTGTAAAAATTAACTTTGGTGTTATAAAATTGAACTTTGATGCGAATTAGGTGTCAGGTTTCTTTATTGGCTGGTCATCTTCTTTGGTCTCTTTTTCTTCATCGATAGCATCATATTCTTCTTTGTCACTATTTACGATGCTAGTTTAGTTATGATGCTATCGATGAAGAAAAGGAGAATCAAAATGAAAAATCAATTTTTTCAAATGTAAAATTAAAAACTACAAACCCCGATGGGTTAATTTTTGTAATTGGATTCAGAAAATGCTATATTGTGAAAGTAGGTTAGCCATGACAATGCGTACATTACAAATGCATTCATCGGATGATACAAATTTTATTCAAACAACTTGAAAAATAATTTCAAGGTTATAAAAATTTTATAAATTAGCATTACTAAATAACAACGGCATGTGAATATTCAAATTTCATGCTTATTACTAGGTTAGAATGTTATTCAGATTTTATGAATTTTTTCAATGCCCCAAATTAAACAAATAACATTTTTGAACATTTTCATTTCGGTCACCCAGTTCTCAAGTTGCCTAAAATCAAGTTACTTTAACACCCAGCAAAAAAAGACAGTTCGGATGCTCCGAAATTTTAGTTCACGTAAAACAGTTAAACAATGACCGTCTCATGCTCGTTATTGCTATTTTCTTCAGTATGTTTTTTGAACTGGTTAGCAATTTCATCGAAAGTTTTGTTCTTCGTTTCAGGAACATTGAAGTAGGTGAAGATTAGTGAAGCAACCATGATGGTCATGAAGATTAGGAAAACGAATTCTTTAGTGGCTGCCTGATTCGGACATTTTCATTTGAAATTTCAGTTTAATAAACAATTTGAGAAATAGTTACAATTAATCTAATTAAACTAGAAATAAATTAATTAACAGATCAGTGAACAAACCTGCACGATTTCAAAGCACATGGCTACCACGGCATTCGACAGCCAGTTAATCAACCCCGTCAGACTCATGGCCTTAGCCCTAGGACCCTGCGTGAAGACTTCAGCAGTGATCATGTTGGGGATTGGACCCAGGCCACAAGAGAATAAGACGACGTAGCTTATTACGCAAACAATGCTCAAGTAACTCAACCAATGATATCTAGGCTGTTTAATTCAATTGAAAAACTTATTATAAATTTATCTAAACTGATATTTAAAAGATTAATGTCACGGTTAAATTCATAGCAAAAATTAATGAAGTCCAAAACGTGAGACAGTAGCGAAAATAATGACTGCTTGCTGAACTCTGGATAACAACATTTGTCAATATAGAACCTAGATGTTTTATTAAAAATTAAAGTTGATTAAGAAAAACATTAAAACAAAACAAAAAAAACAATATTTAACACTGTCGCTTTTCATTTAGATTCACAATTAAGTGATACACCTGCAAGTTAAGAGCAATCGTGATGACGACCAGCGTCAAGACCATTCCAGATATAGGGCCCAGCAACAACATCCTCCTTCCCAGTCGGTCCATTAAAGGAATCTCGTTTTCAATGACAGATAAAAAAATGAATGCAAATTTATTTCATTAAATTTTGTTTTAAATTCAACGGCTAACAATTTTACAAATTTCTTGGAAATACATCATAACTGACATATAACAAAACTTCTCAAAAATTTTATTACTCTGTTGAGGTGTTAAGGGAAGATAAGTTTCAAACCAAAAAAGAATTTTGCCTATCATATAAATACAATAAAGTATTGAACATATAATCGCAAACAGCGCCGATTCAAAATGCGACGTTTTTACAAAGAAATTCATCAGAAAGTTGACGATTGAATGAAATGTTGCAGAGTCTAACCACGGTGAAGTTCATGGCAACGCTAACAAAGCACGTTCCCAAATTGGCATATTGAACGACATCGACAGCCACTCCAGCGTTCAAATATATGCCGGTGGAGTAGAAAAATATGGCGTTGATGCCGGAAAACTGCTGCATCAGCTGGAGAACTGTGCAGATCACCAACGGGATGAGGAGCTCACGTGTCTTGAACATCTTCACCAACGTGAACGATTCATTCCTACCCTGGCTTCTTGATTCCTCCTCCATCTCCTCCATCTCCTTAACAACATCGTCGTTTCGACGTAGCCATTGTAAGGCTGGTTGTTAATTGATTTATTCAATTTTATTGTTATTTATTTTTTAAGCTCAGGAAAAATAAGTTTGAACAAATTGAATGTCGTTATTAATGTGAAAATAAACAAAGTGTATACAGAGCGTAACCTTGTTTCGCACGTGTTTTGTCTTCCTTCGCCATCAGAAGAAACCTCGGACTCTCAGGCAAGAAAGGGAATGAGATCAAACTAACCACACTGGGTACGACATTCATGAGCATCAACACTGACCATCTTCCTTTGGCTCCTTATACCAACATTTTAGTTTTTGTTAATTCAACTTCAGTTAGTGCAGTTGATGAAAATTATAAAATGGACGTAGTTTCTTTTTCCTAAATTTATTCAGCCTAAAGCAATGTATATTTTATTCGCAAACCTCACGAAAACACTTCCAACCCTTTTATGTTTTTCACAACTGACAGCTAAGACCGACCAATCATTTATACCCATTTTTAATTTCAATAAAAATGTTTAACGTAACTTTAGTGATCTACACTCTTCTTTTATAACTACCTCAATCTTCAAGTTTTCAACCTCATGGTCCAGTTAAGCCCCTAATAAATTTCTAGATAGTGAATGTATTTTTCTGAGTGCAACACCAAATAGAGCTTTTTTTCATTCGTGATTTTTGCTTCGTCTTATTAAGAGCGGAACAAACTTTTATTCAATTAACAATTGTGCAAATGATTTTAATTTGTGTAAATTTCTCTTCATTTATTCAAAAATAAAACTTTTACAAAAATGTTATTTTCATTTTAGTTTTAAAGCTTCAAGTAGCCAACCATTCAAACCACTACAGACATGCAATCCAATCAATTACACAAGGGTGCAGAAGCCAACCAACCAATTAAACTAATTAAACCAATTAAACCAACCCATCAAAAACATTGCAAATACTAACCAATCGCACCACAACGCAGATGTCAACCAACCAATCACACAACAATATAAATACCAACCAACCAATCACACAACAACATAAATGCCAACCAACCAATCACAAAACAATATTTATGCCAACCAACCAATCACACAACAAAATAAATGCCAACCAACCAATCACACAAAAATATAAATGCCAACCAAGCAAACTACTCAACCCTAGGATGCTGCTCATTGCCAGGCCTATTGAAACGAAAAGTTGGTACGTGACGCCCATGGCACCTTTCAAATTGATAGGAACGATTTCTAGCATGTACATCGGGCCAAGTTGTGTGGCAGCTCCTGTCAAGGAAGAAAGCTGAGTCGATGTTATGCTCCAATCATCCATTGTAAAAGTTTTCATGATGAAAATAACATCGATAAAACCAATTTATAAAAAATAAAAAATTGTAGATTTAATTTAGATGCATAAAGCAGCAGGGCCAAATATGTTTTGTACATGAAATCCATTTTTTCAAGAAAAATTTTTAAAAAATTTTAGCTTTTCAAAATTTAGTTGAAAATTTACTACATTCAGACATGATGTGGTTTTACAAAAGGGGCTAAAAGTTTAGAGAATTTGATCACATTTTTTGAGCTTTTTCATATTTTTTTACTCGGTCCTTATTTGAAAAACATTAAATTAAACTGAAAACATTTCAACTCAACAAATAATGTACACTAAAACCCCACAAAATATTTCTTGTGCGGGGAACTGCAATTTCAAAATCTCCTCCTCCTGTGGACAGGCTTCTGAAAAGGTCATGACCTTCTCTTTAAAGGTACCATTGAAAATGTATAATGCAAGAAAAATAAAACTATTATATTTCGAGCAATCTATATATAGAGCAATCGGAAGCCAGCCAACCACAACTCAATCCAGTAATGAACCTTCCAACGAGCAGCAAAGCAGGCGAGGCAGCGTACACGCACGCAAAACTGAGCACTCCTCCGAAGACGGATGGTCCAGCGATCAGCATAACACATACTTTTCTGTTTGTGTTTGTTTGAGGTATCGTGTATTTTGAAATTTTAAGAAAAATATTCATAGGTCATTTAAAGTGGTGTCAATTTGTGTGCATGGTTTGTTAAAAACGTCAATGGATATTTAACAAGATTACTTTAGTTTGTACTACAAATTTATTTTTTGTACTTAAACAACTTCAAATCCAAAAGTTCACAAACCTGCCCAGCCTATCAGCCAGCCAGCTAACAACGAAGGAGCCTATCATGCCTCCACAGACAAACACAGCTGTGCATAGCGACCAGAGGATCGTCAGAGTGTTCTCACTAATTGAATTCTGTGCAGGCAGTGAGGTTGACGACGATGGTGGTGGCGATGTTGGTGTCGAAGCTTCTGGCAGTGAGGTTGTTGAAGATATTGTTAATAGCGTGAAGTTTGATGCTGATGTTGATGACTGAGCTGACAAGGAGTCATTCAAAAACTGTTTGACCAGCTGAAAATAAAGGTTAAAGGTTTCTCTCTCTCTCTTTTGCGTTTGCTTCAGAGGTTTCAACGTTTCAACAAAAAATAAGAACGCGATAAGACGTCTTGAAATAAATTTATTTCATTCGTCAGTTGAGAGGTTTGAATAGTGACTGAGCAAAAATTTTTAAGCCAAGTGCAGTCTTTTAAATAAATGATAATTTATAACTAACAGCCATTGGTTGGTTGAGAACGCTGAGGTTGTAACCGTACTGGAAGGAAGTTGAGAATGCGATGAAGAAACCCAACAACGCTGTTGACCATGTCCAGTCCTGGCAGTTATAACAAGGACAACTTGAAATGGTAGTTGTCTAGCTTGAGAATTAGTTTAGACATGAGGAGTGCCGTAACTCGCGTTGTCATGCTCAAGTTTTATAATTTATTTTCTATATGGAGCGTTCAAGTTAAGCTGAATTACGTAAACTTGTGGATAAGTATCATAACATATAAAAAATAAAAATAACTTGGAGAAAAAAAATGAGTTTTTTGAACGACGCCTATATAAGTAAAATACATTCTCTAACCTCAATCGCATTTTTGGAAAAATTTTTAAATTTACTCGTTTTAAATTTAAATAAAGACGCTTCAAACTATATCGTGCTGCCATTGCATGGTTTGATCGCCTGAACATGCATAAGTTATTTCAATAATTTTTTATTATTATGAATTTTACTTTCAAGTTTGCAGCTGCAACTTCCCTAGAACATGGATGCTTCGTAAATAAACAATAAGGCTGTTAAGCTATTGCAAAGCTGGGTACGATAATTCAAACGCTATAATTAACATAATAATATAATATAAAAAATATAATAATTTAATTAATTAAATCATGAGCAAGTGGACAAAATTTTGCATAGTTGGACAACGAAAGTGGTTAAGATATGGATCGCGAGATTTTGAAACAAGCAACTTAACAAACGTATGAAGTTGATGAAAAGCGTTGTAACGAGAATTATTATAGACAAATCAAAAGATTGCCATCCTACATACAAACAAACATGTGTACGTACAAATACATGCATAAATTCATACATACTTAAATAATACATGTGCGACAACAAAATTTTTTAACTTCCACTAACCTTTCGTGATGCCATCGCTTGTAGATCAGTTTGCTATCTCAAACAGTTTTTAAACGAGTCAGAGTTTATTTATTAATAAAATTGGATTTGATTCTCAAAAGTCCTAACACCCAAAGTACAACATTCAATTTTTCCCGATAAATAAATATACTACCAGAGTGTAATGAATTCTTGTTTTTGTCATATTATGTTGAATAAGTTGTCTAAATAAATTTCTAATGTAAAATTCCGATAGGACGGTTTTGTCTAGAAACTTCGTTTAAAACCTCAATTTATTTTTATTTCAAATGTAGAAACTTTTTGAGCTGCCGTAGAAAATTTCGAAATTTAAATCTAACTTGACTAAGCTTGACTGAATTGATTCTCAACGGAATAAACAACTTTGTCATTTGGTGTAACTTAGCCTGCTATAAATGATTTTCATTGAACTTGATTAGGTCAATCATTAAATGTGTAGGTTAGTCAGATGAACGTATACACAGATCTGTTTAATAAGTTCAAAAAACCTTTCCTTATGTTCGAACACGTTTCAAATGAGCCAACTCCATTTAAAATATTTCACGATCGTCCTGTTAAGAGAAGGCGACACATACCATACATACTTTGTTTGTCTATTTTGTTTATTTGCTGTTCGTAACTTTTAAATGTTATTTAATTAAAAGTCATTAATAACATCGTCCACACAGTCACATTTGCCTTGCTCTACTGAGCTTCTTACCAATTCTGTGCGTGTGTGTCTGTGTGTGTGCGTGTGTGTTTGTTTGTGTCTGTGTGCGTTTGTTTGTGTGTGCGTGTCTTTGTGTTTTTTAACTTCATGATTTTGTGTTGAATGGTGATACGAATGACGAAATACTATTTTTTTACGTAACGCACACATTGGTTCCTAATAAAATTTGACAGAACCTTAATGACGACTAAAAAATAAACTGTTTTTTAAACAAAATTAAGTGAAAATGTACTCTCACTTTTAAAAAACTGAACTTTCATTCCACTCGAGTCCATTTCAATCTTGGCATTCGATTTAATTCAACATTTTTCAGTATCAGTAAACTTCATTTGTTTTCTTTTAGTTCTCGTAAAACTGCGTGATTATTATTTTACTAGATTACAAAACTCGAATAAGAACAATATTAATAAAATTATTATTATTATTAGTTTAATCGAACGGCATGCAACTTCCAATAAATTAGAACTGCTGTTGATTGCATGCATTGTAATGTATGTACGTAGTTCGCATAGTTCATACATCATAGTCAGCATAATTTGCAGGGTTTCTTCATGGTTTGAGAATTTCTTAATAATATTTAGAACAAGAAAACAACAAGTGTTTATCATGAATATTCATTAAAAATATTTAATGAGACGGCAACAAGAAAAATTATGGTGAGTAAAAAAAGCCAGAATTAAGGTTTGTTTGACCGACCAGGCAAAGTGATTTTATTAACAAAGTAAATAATAAATAAACTCGGTTTCACGTTTAAACATTTTTATTCATTTACAAACACTGTGCACTCAAACAAAATACAATTTAGGACTTCAACTTATGTAAAAATTCTTCAAAAAACTATCACAATGAAATTTTTACTAGCCGATGTGAACTCGTTTTTTATATTACAGTCGTGTAAGCTGAACAAAAATTAGAGCTTGTCTCAGTATAAACGTTTATAATTGAATAAATTTTCGTGATTTATCGTCAACTGCGTGAACAGAATTTTTGTTTTAAATTGTACAAACACACAATGAGAAACACAATTTGTTCGTTTCTAACGCTACAACCATTAAGCAATAACACACACAACGGTTAAAGCGATTGTCTACCATACCAAGTTTTAACAAACAAAGCAGTAACAACCGGTAAACATAATATCACATAATACATTAATGAAACATTGCTTGCAGCTGAAAAGTTAAACATGGGTAATTTTTTCACTGTTTTTGACTTGAACAACAAAAAACTACATACCAGGATATTTGATTAAAACTTTGTTTAACAGCCATAAACGAAATTGACACGTGAAATTTTTATTAACAAGTCCTTGAACATAATCTCGAATAGCCATGACGAAACAGAAATACAAAGATTGCCGGCGTGGGTCCTCTCTTCAGAGCCTTGAATTACCTATATGCATAATTATAATTATATTCTTCAATATCAATATATATGTATATTTCTGAAATAAACGGATTTTAAAAAAATGGATTATGACTTAAGAAATATGAATTTTAAGTTTGATTTGAAAGCTGGTTTTGGTATATGATATTTCGTTCGAATGTGATTATTAAATGTTAAGTATGTTTATCGAGATAATTAACTTTTGGCAATTTTTCTTTGACTTTTTTTGGCTTAATGTGAAAATACATTATATAATTTATGTAATTTCTTCTATTGATACAGGCCTAGGAACAATAATTATTTTTTGCAATTAGTGTCAAAATTTGTTGAGTAGAACTTTTCTCGGATTTTTTTTGAGTCCTTGTTCTTCACTTATGTTGACTTTCAATACTTCTCTCGCTCTTACTTTTAAATTATTTAACATTATTTTGTGAACCATCAGCTACGGTGCGAGGTTTTGTACACTTTGCAATATCGCCATTAAGACAATGTCACTAGTCAAGGCTGTATCCAGGATTATTTTTCGGAGGTGGGAGTCTGTAGGAATTTTTTATTATAATTTAAATAAAAATTAATTACAAACCTAATCAAATCAGCTTTTTTTGCAAAGTATACAAACCCAGCAACCTAAAACATTTCCGCTATTTGAAGATTTCGTTATTTTGGTGTAAGTAAAGTTATAGCGAAACCAGATTTTGATTTGAAGCGGCTGTCCAGAATTTTTAAAAACGTCAAAAAAGAAAAATGTAATGAAAATAAATTAGACTTTTAATGATATTCGCTGATTACATCAAGCAAACTGGACACAGCACGAACTCATAAATTTAAATAATGTAATTTTTTTACAAAAACGGTAAACTTTGGCTTAACAATAACGAAAATCAAACCAAAAAACAAGTCCGGAAGAAAAAAATCGAAGTTTTTGTGACTTGTTTGTAACCGGTTTGATGATTTGTGCTACGTTGATTTAGAAGCTGTCCTCATTATATATAAGAAGTGAAATGAAGCGTTTGGATCTGAATGTCGACCAGGATTTAATTACGTCATTATAGTTCACTTCCACGCTGTGAACGATCGCCTACAGTATTGAAATAATATATATGTATATCATATATGTTTCAATATATTTATGACTTTCCATAGTTTTCAGACAATCTTATATTATTTCTAACTTGACTAACTTGCACATGTATGTTCTTTTTCGCTTTTTGTCGACTAACGTGTCCTCTAATATTTCAATTAACGTTTCTTTAATAAACAATTATATTAAAAACAAACAAAGAAGTTTTTTATGTTAAACAGGTTATGAGCCCAGAACGCTTAATAAATTGTTTAGAGAAAAAGTTATTTTGAAAAAAAAAGAAAGAGATTGCAATTCGTGACTAAAAGAACTTTTCCAACTATCGTTGAAGTAAGAACATCAATTTTTTTTTTCTCCTTCAAAATGGACTCAAAGCTTCAAATAAATCGATTGGCCCATTTGGAAACGTCGTGTTCGAGATTTCATGGACTACCATGAGGGCACACTTGATGTGATTGATGAGAAGTTGTCGAAACCAGAATTACTAGAAAATCAAACAGAGCAACAGACAAAAGATTTTAAAAATAAATCAGATCTGTTTAGAAAGGCAAACAGTTATGCCAAATCAGTAATTGCGAATGCAGTCACAGAATATACATACCAAAAGATAATGGACAAGAACACAGCGTTTGAAGTTTGGGAGGAATTAAAAAGAAATTTTGAAGCGTCAACTAAGAACCAACTGTTCCAAGTTTGTAGCAATTTTTTCTATTTCAATTTGATAGCGGATGTAGATGTATCCGGCCAAATTGCAAGATTGAAGACTTTATGGAACGAATTAAACAGTGGGCTTCAGGCATTGGGAGAAAATAAACTACCAGAGCTGCTATTAGTATGCAAAGCAATGCAGATTCTCCCAAATATTTTCCAAAACTTCAAATCAAGTTGGCTAATGCTAGGTGAAGAAAAGCAGTTGATAGATGATTTAATCACTCATCTCTGTGCTTTCGAAAGAGAGATAAAGACTTTCGACACAATGGATAAATCATCAAGGCAGAACGCCTTAGTTGTTAATGTTGAAAAGCCAAGTTTCAACAAATTAAGAGATTTCACTTAAAAGACAAAACCAGTTGGTAACTGCAACTATTGCCATAAACCTGGACACTGGGTTAAGCAATGTAGAAAGTGAATCAGTGATGGAAGACCTTCTAAAAATTCCAAAAATGCTTCAGCGACACCAAGAAAAGCATATGATGAAACATCAAATGTAGTTTTGTGCACATCAGCCAGTAATCAAACACTGAGAGACAGCACTAAGTGGTATATTGACAATGGAGCAACAAAGCACTTAACGAACAATCCAGATAATTTTGTTACATTTGAGAAGTTTGTCGCACCATGTTCTGTTCAAGCTGCAGGAAAAGAAATTCTTGCTGCTGTGGGTAGAGGCGAAATAAATATGCTGTCAACAGTAAATAACAAACAACAGTATATAAAACTCTCAGATGTCTGGTATGTTCCAAATATAGGTAGAAACCTGTTTTCCATATTAGCCGCACAAGATAAAAATTAAAAAAACCGCAAGTTTGAATCTTATGCAACCAAATGTCAACTCAGTATAAGAACCGAGTGGTAGTACAAGGGACAAGACGAGTAGATGGTTCCTTGTATGAGGCAAACTTGATTTCATTAACTCCAGATACACCGGCTGAAGTGAATATAGTCAGTGAAAATTTAATAGTGCAGCTCTACCATGAACGTTTTGTTCATCAAGATAAACGTCACATAAAGAATGTTATAGAAAAGGAGTTAAACATTAAAGTTCATCTTGACAAGGATTTGTGTGAACCATGTCTCTATGGTAAAGCACATCGGTTAAAATTTGGCAAGAGAAATGCAACCAATAAACCAGGTGAACTATCAGCAGATGTTTGTGGTCCTTTCAGAACAGAATCATTTAATAGTAAACGATATTTTGTTGTTTTCAAAGATCATTACAGCAAAATGAGGTTCATTTCTTTTCTTAGACACAAAAATGAAGTGAAAAGGCATTAAAAAATATTTTGTCTCAAGCAGCGACTCAAGGTCATAGAGTAAAAGTGACAATGGGAGTGAGTTTGACAACGAAGAAGTTCGAAACATCCTGCGCAGCCATGGAATCACGCAAAGACTAACAGCACCATATACACCTCAACAAAATGGTGGTAGTGAACGTGAAAACAGAACAATAGTAGAAATGGCACGCACATTGAAGTACTCAAATCCAGATTTTGAATTTCCAGTCGCTATGTGGGCTGAGTTATGTTCAACTGCAGTATATTTACTTAATCGAACAGGCAAGTCGTCGATTGAAGATAAAAGCCCATTTGAAATTTGGACAGGTAAAAAGCCGAGAATTAACCATTTGAGAATAATTGGCTCTACATGTTTTGTTCATGTTCATGTTTGTTCCATTTATCACTATTACCACCTGATGAAAAACGTCAAAAAATGGATAAGAAAGCTATAAAAGGTTACCTTGTTGGTTACGATGGTGACGAACGCTATCGTATATGGCTCAAAAATCAATATAAAATGATATTCTCAAGAGATGTAGTTTTCCAAGAAAAACCTATGAAATGTACAACATCATTTGAACATCAGACTCAAAAAGATTTTACAACAGATCCTCAAATCAATTGCAAATCAGAAAATGACTCGAGTAGTAGAAATGATGATTCAAAAGAAGAAATTACAGATGACACTGAGAAGATTATAGATAATTCAGTTAAAGTTCAACTCAGAGATAGGTCAAGCTTACAGAAACCTAAGAAGTTAGATGATTATGTGACGCAGGCTGAGACATATTTATTAGATGTACATGAACCAGATACATATGAAGAAGCCATTCAAAGCAGAGTCAGACTGAAACTCCTATATGGACATATGGGACTAATGTCATAAAATGTTTTGAAACAAGGGAAAGTATTGAAATAATATATATGTATATCATATATGTTTCAATATATTTATGACTTTCCATAGTTTTCAGACAATCTTATATTATTGCTAACTTGACTAACTTGCACGTGTATGTTCTTTTTCGCTTTTTGTCGACTAACGTGTCTTCTAATATTTCAATTAACGTTTCTTTAATAAACAATTATATTAAAAACAAACAAAGAAGTTTTTTATTTTAAACATACAGGAGTCTCTCTGCGTCAACTATAATGAATGCGTGCTGTCATCGCTTCTCTTGCGTTGTGTGTTTTATTCAGTAAGTAAAACGTACATTGAGAGAGTTACAATAAGACAATGCTGATGAAGTTTTACTTCAACTTATAATTTAACTGATCGCATGAATCTAAACTGGAATCACCATCAAATTTAACAAGTTAAATTAGTCGTTTAGCACGTATTCATATACGCTGGTTGTGTGTTCTTTAATCCTCTAAAACTAGGGAGAGTGTAAAAGACTTTTAACTATTAAATTATATAGGAAAGGAAATAGAACATTTAATCTGACCGTTGACCTAGAAGTAATTACGTCATTACACTATGCATGTTTACGCCCGCTAAAATCTCCCTGCATCAATTCTAATGGATGCGTGACGTCATTGCTTTCTCTGCTTCTAGTAGAGAAAACAATGGAGAGTGAGGGATACGACGGAGAGATTCCAGTTTAATATTTCATGGAAAGGTAGGATTTGGCCAATCCATTTTAAAATTTATGTACCAAATTGTAACGCAGTAAAGTTTATGGAGAGAATAGATATACTTATAATACTACTAAAGGGCAATACCCAATACCAGCATATATAGTAATGATCGTACATATAATCTAAATAATGTAGGAGTTATATAAAATGTATTCTGTATATATGACGAAGGCAAGGGGTGGTGTTTCAACCATGGATATATCTATTCATGGTTTCAACGATGGATTCCGATAAGTTAATACATCATATTAATAGGCTAATTAGTAGCACATATGCTAATTTTCCCCTACTAGTTTTAAAGTTTCTTTTTATAATATATCATTTTATATAAACGATAGGTGATATTTATTTCAATCCACCACCTTTAATAATTTCCTAGTGACAGGTTGAAGGCTGCACATCTATCTAAACTTGTTTTGCTTACTTGCTCTTTCTGTCAAGAGATGTGTCGAAGTTGTCCTGCGCTCTCATTTAAATTCTATGTCACAACAGGCAAAGCGTATTTTAGTTCATTTTATGAGTTTTTAATTATTTCTCATTTGACGGCGTGTAATTAATATAATATAATTAAAATTTAATTATTAAATTAAGACTTAAGAAGTGTTACACTGTTTGTTACTGATTGCTTAATTTATTTATTAACTGACTCAGGATAAAATCTTGGGGTCAAATTCCAAAAAATTTGAAAAATGTCGCGATTTGAATCCATGCCTAACTTTAGGAAATTGTGTCCGGAAGAGAAAGATTTGAGTTACAATTCTCTTTCAGCTGAAAATAACTCGAAAAGTTCAGCTGATGCCACAAACATCACAAGCAAAGTATATAGATCATCGAAACCAGATTTTTTAACGGAGCAAGAAGTGGAGCAGTTCAACGCATTGAACATTCAGTCGATCATTGACTTCAGATCTTATTCAGAGTACAAGCGGTCTCACCACAAATCAATCAAATTGCTCGACAAGCAGTATGCCCTATTTAAGGCTGGCAATTATTATGATTTTTTTACCAATAGACTTATTTTATTCTTTGTTCATTTCAATTAAAAAACTAAGGCTATGTTAGTCTTTTCTTTACTTGCTTAGCTTAGTTACTAAGTTGGCTACTAAACCTTAATTTTTAGTAGCTTACTCAGTTCATCTATTAGATAGAGATTGAAAAATAGCAAAATGAATGTGTGAATTACAATTTTGAAGTTTTTATGTTATGTCCTTAATTATTAATATGTATGATAAATTTCCATATGCTAACTTCGAATTTTTTTTTTTAAATTTCGATTAGATTATTATTTTATCCAAATAAGTTCTTACTTCACATGAAAATGTTTCAATTGGAAAACATTGTTAATTAAATAAAAAAATTCTTTTAAATGATCATATGACTAGTAACAAACTACCAAATGATAGGTTGAAGTTCCTCAGTGGAGCACATACAAGCAGCATGAAATTGTTGTTTGCAAAAAAGTTTCTGGAGCATCTGATAATAACTGCAGAAAACACTATCTAATTAACTTCTTCAACTACAATTACGTGTGGGAAGTCTTCAACAGAGTCCCCATCCTCATGCGAATCGTCTCCCTCTTCTACCTCCTCATCGACTTCATCCTCAGAAATGACAAAAGATATTTTGTCAGGTTCTTCGCAAAGCAGACACTCAACCAGCAAGGAATCGTGGGACAGTACATCGACTTTGTCACACACAGTCAGGCTTCCATATGTGCTGGTACATATGCTGATTAATCCTTTTAAATTCATTCAATACATTTATTTATAGATATATATTATATTCTATAATCCTATATACAGTTATATATGTATAAAGAGAAAGAGCAGGGAAATATATCTCACTTACTTAGCAATTAATAAGAAGTAACACACGACAAACACAAACGCAGCGTTGAAACTTCTGTGTGACCCAGCAAACCTGCCTGTAATGTTGAATTGTGCATATGGCAAGGATCGAACGGGAATGGTGTCGGCCATGATTCTTGCTTGCCTCGGATCTTCAAAGGAGTACATTTGTCAGGATTATGCAAGATCAGCTGTCAGTTCAATAATTTTTTTCTATTATGTTTTTGATAAATATTTTAAATGGATGTTGATGATGAAATTATTGACGACGGCCACAACTGTAAGGATTTTAAAACATTGTAGTGTAATTATGACACAACGATGATCTCAATATGATATTGAGATGATGACAGGATCTCTTCGAACAGGGTGCAAATGTTTACTTTCTCTCAGGTTGAACTAAAGCCTGTGGAGGAGATACTGGTGGATGATGTGGTGGGTAAGTACCACCTTTGTAGGACGTTCACCTCTGCAGAGTCTCACAACATGATGAGGGTTTTGGAGTACATTGAAGAAAAGTTTGGACTTTTTGCTTGTAATTGTGTGTGTGTGTGTGTGTGTGTGTGTGCGTGTTGGTGTGTGCGTGTTTGCGTGAGTGTCAAGGTGTGTAATTTCTTTATGGTCAATATTGACTTCAGTAAATAAAATTTATTGACCTGAACACTGTCAGACATTTAGTTGAAATATTTTTCAAAGTGTTATTTGCAAAGATTATGTCAGTGGTGGTGCTGAAACAAAAAGGAGAGATACAAGTAGGAAAAATGAATGGTTATATGAGGTGTTTAAATGCTGAAACATTGTTTTTGTGATTACAAGGTTGTAAATCAGTCAAACGTTATTGAATTCTTCTGTCGGTCACATTTTCAATTGTAAGGTATGAGAAGACTTAAAATACAAGTATCCAAATGAACCATTGTTGAAAATGAACTACCAGACTTTGAAACTAATGTGTTCGTTGTGCATATCACTTTAAAAAGTTTGCCATTCAATTAAACATGCATTGAAAGCTGTTGAAAATTTTATTTAATATTTCACAGTACTTGAATTTGAAAACAAAAACAAACTTATTTTTATATCTGCATACAAAATTTGTACAACAAATCTTTACAAGTTTTTAAATAAAGTTAACTTGGTAATTGCTGAATCTACTAGGTGTTGGAGATTTTTGTTTGAGTCAGAACTCTTTGAGTATCCAACTTCAGAAAATATTATCAATTAAAAAAAATTTTCTCTGAAAATTTTGTTTAAGATCAATTTTTTTCAGAGGATAAATATGTGTAGAAATATGCAATCATCTTTAATATTGAAAATAAATGCTAATAATGTGAATTAAATCATATAATTATTTCAATATGATTTAAAACATAAAAATAAAGCCTATTTGCTAGGAAAAACGATTACATTGACTAATTTTGAGTGTTTTTCAAAGTTTTTCATTTAATAATAATTTTTCTTCTCTCTCGTGCCTTATTCTTTCAGGACATTGGCGACCATCGATCTCCACAAAACCGGACTGTTTTAATGCATCCTCATTGGAGGTATGAGAGGTCCAACTAGTTTTCATAATTCTTTTCAAAAACCACATCTCAGCAGTATTAATCCTTTTTTCCACATCTTTAGAAATTGTCCGGGACTCAGAGCCGTCCGGGACTCATGCAACACTAACAGTTTTAATTTTGTTGATATTTTGATTTTACTGTTGGTGATGATGTTTTTCATTTTAGAATAAGCATCTTTCGCCATAACTATTCTTTGTTTGATATCCACATCACATTTACAATCTGAGGTAATCAAACATTCAAGATAATTGAAGCTGCTGACTTGTTTCACTTATTTACCATTAATGATTATGGAGCAGATCTGGTCGGTTTTCCTTTTAACTGATAACCATGCACTCTGTTTTGTTGATGTTAATTTACAAGCCTTTCCTTTCACTTTCAAAGATCAGTTTGGAAACAATTGTTTGCAGTTTTTCCATTGATTCAGCTTTAAGAGCTGTATCATCGGCATTGTTTATATTCACGCCTCCAATGGATATTCCAGGGAGATCTATCTTTCTCATGATAATCTCACTATAGAGATTGTACAGGTCTGGAAAGAATACACAGTCTTGTCTAACACCTTTCTTTATTTCTACAAAACTTGTCATCTTGTTACAAACTTCCATCGCTGCTTTTTTCAAATAGAGGTCTTAGATAACTCTCGTGTCTTCTCCATCAATGTCTAAATTTTCCAATATTTCCATAAGCTCCACGTGTTTCACGCTATCAAAAGCTTTGGAGTAATCGACAAAACATATAAACGAGTCTTACTTCATTTCAATCGCTCGCTCACTGACCATTCAGAACATAAAAATAGCGTTTCTTTTGCCATAATTCTCGACAAAACCACATTAGACATTTGAAATTTCAGATTTGATTTTGCTTCGACTCTCGTCATTAGAATTCTCAAGAGAAGTTTTGTAAGATGACTCATCAAGCTGATTGCTCGATGTAGTTCTCATTCGGTTACATTAGGTTTTTTAGGCAAAGCAATAAATATTGACAATATTGCCTTAAAAATGCTTATGAAACTAGGATTAAATTATGCTGTTATGTTGTTCATCGCATGTTTATTTTTCGCGGTCATTTTTTGTTTTTATTTTATGACACCAGAGTAATAGCATTGTTTGATTTGCAGGTATGGAAGCATATGTGGCTACCTGGAGAAGATAGGACTCTCAATTCAGGAACAACAAGTCCTTAGGAACAATCTGCTGTCATGAGGAATGTGCATAAATGAAAATGTATGACTCTGTGTGTATGTGTGTGTGTGTGTGTGAGAGAGAGAGAGAGAGAGAAACGAATTTGTAATAAAATGAAATCAAACCGTCGTTGCTTTCCCACTTGACGTTTATGTTTCCTATGTCGACCTCCATTACTTACGCACGTAGTCATGAAGCTTCGTGAATTGTGTAATAAAATTATCTGATTGCATTGATTCTGTAAACAAAACGTTAGGAGTGTTAGCTGTCATCTTGGTTGGTACTGCTCGTTAATGAGCTTTTTGTTTATATTATGAGGTTGTCGAGTTGTTAGAAATCGTCTGCAGAGCACTCGTTCCGCATTGAATCACGTTGCGTTGTATTCTATTTTGTACTTCAGTGCACTGACAGGTAAGTAAAGTATTCAACTTGTTTGATGTTCATGTATGTTGTTGCAAGGTATATCTTTTCGTCTTTTTTGCATGTATATTTTAGCAGAAATATGAGCAGGAAAATATATTACATTAGCAAATTCAGGGTCGATTTTTCTGATATTCCATTGAAAATCTTTCGAAGAGTGCATGGTAAAGTTATTTGTTAACTTTTTCAATTAAAATTCTGTTGTTGATGTTCATCAATTTAAAGAGATGTTGAGGATGTTTTATTTTTCTTTACAACTGTCTGTACGTGTGTGTGTGTGCGTGTGTGTGTGAATGATGTGTATTGGAAGGAGACCAAATTTTATACAGTATTGTATGAATCCTTATCCAATAATATTCACCTTGCTAACAATTATTAGTTCCATGTTAGTTCCAGCTCACTTTGATCTACGTACATTTCCATTGTTGAAGCACTCCGTGACCTAGGTCATGTATGTAATTTTGTTTGTCACTGTGTGTGTGTGTGTGTGTGTGTGGGTTTTGCAGTTTTGTTAAAATTATGTGCATTATATTTTCGCGTTGAAGATTTTTTATGACAATGACAATTGTTCTGATTTTTAATAATTTTCATATATCCTGTAAAATTTGATTTTTTATGTTAGATAATTAGAAATGATATTATATATTTGTTTGGTGTGTGTGTGTGTGTTTGTGGGATGTGTGTGTATTAATTTATTTCTCTTTCACCTACATATGATTAGTTATAAGTGTGAATGATATTTTCTTATCTGTAATCATTATGGTCGATGTTCTCTGCTGTTTGTATGTACTGGCGTTTGTGCTGGATTGTGAATGTTGATAATATATGCATTGGTTTATATAGTGCTGTTGATGTTACAGAATGTGATGTGTTATGGGATGTTTTAATATTGGATTCTAATGCAATGCGATGATGATGTAGCAATGTAATCGTATTGATGAGGTATTATTTAAAAGATGAAAATAATTTTGAATATGACATATTTGTCATATGTTTGTCATTTGAAAAAGATGATCGTTCAGTATGTAGATGTTATTTTGGCACGGTGATTGTGGTGTAACGAGATAAACATGCCAATCTTATAATGAGGTTTATGAAATAAGAGGATGTGATGATGAAGAAAGTTGGATGAATGAATTAATTTGATGAGTGTGCTGCGTAGTCGCCATACAAGCCAATGAACCTGCATCGTTATTTGTTACATTGACATTGTCGTTGAAGCATTATCATTATCTAATAATTTTATAACATTATGATGGTTAATGGTTTGTATTGCAAAAATGGTTGTTTAACCATTATTTCACAATTCCCATTAAAACGTCAGTTGTAGGAAAAAATAAACTCATCAAATACTAATTTGTTTCTAGCTGATTTATTTAGGTAGGTTATGGCAGATGTATGACCTTTATCTGACTTTTTTTCATCTGATGTTCTGGTCTAAATGTTGTGCGTACATGGAATCGAAATGCGGAGTAAGTTTGCAGCCTAAATCCTCGTCTGCTATAACATTTGCTCTTTCGAGTATGTCGCGGTTTTGCGAAGATTTGATATCTTGTAAGTGCAGTGTTAGTGAACTTGACGCTGGTGCAGTGTTTGATTCAATCCGCCTTAACAATATTAAATAAAAATTTGGACTTTTTTTATCTAAGAGAAAGTTTTTCAACTGGTACTAAACACAACCTCAATAACATCTGACGAGTGCATATCACACTTTGTTGGAGTGTTGAAAATGTTGACATTCTGTGACAAGAGGAAGGGGGCTAAAAACTCGTGTGGCCGTCAATTTCTGTCAGGAATAAATACAAATTTTGCTAGCTTTTTGTCATATAGGTTTATAAAAGTATTTTTTGTTCGGTGCGCATCAAAGAGATTTGCCTCTCAGATCTTTTTATTTTTTTTGCAATTTTTATTTTTCAATATTTGTCAATCATTATTCGCGGTGCTGGTGGCTGGCATGAAACATTTTTAATTGTTTCGATAACTTTTATTAGGGAGGAGGGAAAAAAATACGGGTTCTTAAAATTTAAACAAACGCGGATGTTTCTATTTGATTAAATTTGGCTATAATGAAACAACAGTAATAACTAAATGATGCAAAATCTTATAAAATTGTCGAAAAAATAAAACTACTGACGACAACTTCAGTGAATGGATCTCGTAATACAACTGTTTTTTTTTCCATGATGAGTACGTGCTTGCTTTACATCTATGTAATTATAATAATGCCCTGTCGCATGATGATTTATAAAAAGCGACCAGTCAATCGTAGGTGCGCCAGAATTTAAATATCGGAACATGAGATGTGGTTTGATTGGTTGGCTCGACCGGCAAGACAACCTTCTCTTACTACCACCTCAGCAATCGCAGCCAAAACAACGCATATATCCTGATTCAACATATATGCAGCAAGAGGAAACAACTACTGGAATCGTGATGACAGTGCCAATGGAATTGAAAAATGTCTCTTCATTGCAAGTCGCTCGTTCATGTTCCAGTACACCCATGGAACGGACAGCGTGCTAGTGCAATTCAGAATAGAATAGAATAAATACTCGAAGTTCAGTCTGACATGTATAAACTTATATAAACTGATGCAATTTGATTGTTTTCGTTCTTTCTTCTCCCATTTGACAGTTGTTGTTTGATTTTGTTTAATTATATTTCCAAATTATGATAGACATAGACATGTTTTTATTGGTCAGTAAACAGTTAAAAATTTATCACGGAACAATTTTGTTTTTTCCTCTTAGTTAAATGGCCGTACAAGCTTTTTGGGCTTCTGGTTTCACTTTAAATACAATTTTAAATAGAATAAATTTGCAACGCCACCATAATGTAAACAGTTTTTAAGAATAAATAATTCAATAATTGAAATATTTGGTTGAAAATGTTGAGGTTCATCAACTCTTTATACTGAACTGAACATCAAAAGCATCGATCACCCCACACGACTACCTATAATAATTAATATTCATTCATTCAAACACCCATCCATCCATCCATTAATTCATCCGTTCAATCATTCGGTTCGATAGATCTTCATAGTTTAATCATTCAACTAATTCTTTTAATCAACATTATCTATCATCTTTCATTAACCAATAAGCGTAGTAGTAAGAACTAGCTAGCAAAATTAAATAAAAATGCATCGTTAACTCATAGGTTAGATAATACAAGGTAGGACCATGGATAATAGATATAGATATATATCCACGGATATATTCATGGATATATCTACGGATATATCTATGGATATATCTACGGATATATCCATTGGTAGGACGGATATTATCCGACCCTACAAAAATGGCTTAAAATGGCAAATCATTTGTGAAGTTCACGTTCTATTCGAATGAAAAGAGGTTTGAGTGCACGCTAATAGAAATTAACTGCTTTTTATTTCAATCTACAACTAATCAATCAAATGTTTCAAATAAACATCAGAACAATCGGAAACAGAATTTTTAATGAAACACTAAATAATTATTAATGCATAAGAAGATCAGGTAGTAGATAATAACTATACAATCATCGAAGAACTAATTAATTGAATAACAGCAAACAAATGAATAACAAACTATTGACTAATTGAATAATTAAAGCAGGAAGGTCAATCGAGTAGAAAAAGTTGCAAGTCTGGTGGCAAATGAACTTGAGTTGGTTGTCTCCATACAGATTCAAAATATTCAGACTTACAAGAAATTATTTAAAAATATGAACAACAAAGAAGAACAAAAAATGAAAATGAATGTACGTTAGTGGCTGCTAGCTCATTAAACAAGTAAAACACCAACAAGCAGAGTATGTTGGTTTTAGAGGCACGTCGCTGTGGGATCCATTAACAAAAAAAAGAGATGAATGAATACAACAGGGGCGGGCAAACTACCAGTTCTCAATGCGGCCCTCACAGCAAAAAGTTTGCCCACCCCTTGAAGACATTAATGATACAAAATATTTGATAAATACACGTACAAACAGCAGACTTATATACAATACAATACAATACAATACAATACAATACAATACATACAGCCTTTTCTATAGCTTAATACAGTGTTGGCATCATTATCGTACATGAAGTTCGAATAAAGACAAGAAAAGATCAATAAACTGAAAAAAATTATAAATTTAATTTATAAAAAATTTTCGGCTAAATCTTAAATAATAATTTCCGGAGTTTTTTGATTCTTTGTTGTCCTCAGCGGTAACAAAGAATTGAAAAACGGTGACTATGTTGATCGGAGGTGACGAGTGTATTCAATAATAAATCCAGTTGCTATTATTTTATTCGTAATAATATATTATTATTATTGATATTATTGTTGTTGTTGTTTATTGTTGTTGTTGTTATCATTATTATTTAAGAGGAGAGAACTTTGTTGGGATGAGGATTCTAGATACCATCCTACGAACTAGCGGAACTGTATGTCACAGAATGAATGAATTAATGAATTAATTTTTTAATGAATTAATTATATAATGAATTAATTATATAATGAGTTAATTAATTAATGGATTAATTAATTAATCGGAACCAACCAACAGGCATCCAACGATAACCAATCCGTCAATCTGCCAATCAACCAACCAACTAACTAAACAACCAATCAATAAACCAACCAATCAATCAGTAAACCAACCAATCAATCAGTCAACCAATCAATCAGTCAACCAAACAATCAGTCAACTAACCAATCACTCACTTAATCAATCAATCAATCAATCAACCAAACAATCAGTCAACTAGCCAACCAATCAATCAATCAACCAATCAGTCAATCTGCCAATCAATTAACCAACCAACCAATCATTCATTCAATCTGCCAATCAACTAACCAACCAACCAATCATTCATTCAATCAATCAATCAATCAATCAACCAACCAAACAATCAGTCAACTAGCCAACCAATCAATCAATCAACCAATCAGTCGATCAACCAATGAGCAACACACGAACCTGTATTAGCGACGCATTCGTGCCATCCATCTCTGTCCCATGCAGCATCCCTCACCTCCTCGCGAGCCGCCAGGTTGTCGTACGCTGTCGTCGCGGGGGTGGTGGTGGTCATAATAATAATAATAATAGTAATAATTATAATAATAATAATAATTATTATTATTATTATTGACGATGAGAGAATTTTTTTAAGCAAGTTTATTTCATGAAGCGTAAAACGAAACATAAAAAAGGATTTCATGAAAGAAAAGAAAAATCAAAATAGTATGGAACTCTTAATGATCATGGCGAAGAAGACGTGATAAACCTAAGGACTGCAGTGGCGCACTGACGTTGAGAAGTTTGGAGAAAGTTGAATGGCAGATCAGTTGGAGTTATACAGGCAAGGTGGAGAAACCGGAAGTGAAGAAACCGGAAGTGAGATGTTGAAAGACCTGCCGAGGAATGCATAGATGACAAAATTGTCTGGAATGAAAATGCCGCATGGAATAAAATAGACCGACGAAAACAGAAAAGGATTTTGAAAAATGGCGGGAAAGGTGGAGATCGTCAGCTTCAGCGGTGACCCTTGAGGGAGTAATGAGGGTCACTGGTTTACAAACATCATCATCATCATTACCACAAACATCATCATCATCACCATCATCATCATTACCACAAACATCATCATCAACATCACCACCGTCCCTCACCCCACAAATGATGTGCCTGGTACAGTTCCCCAATGTGGGAGAAGAAACCTGCCACACTCTCCTGATCCGTCTGGCGGTACTTCAAACCGCGAGCCCTGTCGTGTGCGTGTGAGGCGTGTACGTCATGTGTGTGTGCGTGTATATGCGTACGTTGTGTGTGTGCGTGTATATGTGTACGTTGTGTGTGTGCGTGTATATGTGTACGTTGTGTGTGTGCGTGTATATGTGTACGTTGTGTGTGTGTGTGGTGTGTGTGTGTGTGCGTGTGTACGCTGCGTGGTTAATGTTGTAAAGTTGTGTAGGCTGTGGAGCGTGTAGGGTGGGTGGATGATTTGCGTCTGGCGTCGTAGATGAAGGGGTGTGCGAGTTCTGTAGTTGGTTGCGTCAACGTGTTGCGTGATGTTTTAAAGGTAGCGCAACCAGTTGTTGCGCAACCAGTTGTTGCAACCAGCGGTCTACATCCACACCCCGGAAGTAATATGACGAACAAATTACAGAAACATGCAACAAACAACCCACCAACACCACAGCCCACCAACACCACAACCCACCAGCTGTTGCCCCAGTCGATCATCGTTCCTGGCTGTTTGGATGGGGTTGAATTACATTTCAATACATTATCATAATTTATAATATAATTATCATTCCATGAAAATATAACTTTATAAATACAAATATAAAAAATATATAAATATTTATAATATAAATATTATAAGAGTTTGATTGAAAATATGAATGGTAATGCATTATGCAATCAGGTCAATGATTAACACACATGGTCTGTAGTTTTGAAAACTTCAAAAAGCATGCTCAGAGGCTTAAAGTCGCCAAGACTTGAAAAAAGAAAGCTACTGCATGATGATCACTGCCATCGTCACCCACCATCATCACAACTTTCATCATTGCCTCCATCCATCCCGACTATCAATCATCATCATCATCATCATCATCATCATCATCATCATGTTAACAATCACCATCATCATCATGTTAACAATCATCCTCATCATCATCATCACCACCATGTTAACAATCATCCTCATCATCATTATCACCATCCTTCTCATCATCATCATGTCAATAATCGACATCACAGTCTCAACCATCATTTTCACCATTATAACCACCAGCACCAACATCACCATCATCATCATCATTATTATTATTATTATTATGACCTTGAGTAGGTAGCTCCTGAGTTC